ACCAGAAGCAGCAGCCAAGCAAGGGTCGGCAGTGGGCATGTGAGAAACTGCCGCCGATCGAGGCCCAAAATTGTTGCCAGCCAAGGTCCAAACAAAACGTTTGCGACGCCGAGCCAGAGTAGTTTCGTTGACGCGAGGACCGAATTCTCGAGCCACCATATGTTTACCATAACGAGGAGGAGCCCCTGTCAACTCTTCCTTCCTTGGGCACAAACGGCTCACATAGCCAACCACACCACACAAAAAACAAAATTGGGGAAGGGCTTCATACTGCACCTTTGCTTTGAAACTACCTTTAGACGGATTTTCATGAGCCGCAGACACTTCATCAGGGAGAGGCAGAAGAAGATCACCGGTCACTTTCACCCTGATAAAGAGGGAACCCGAAGAGGTCGATCGATGCACTGAAGCAGGATTTGCTGTTCCTAGGGAGAAAATCATATGTGCCATTACCTGTGATACTCATACTCATATTTTATCCTTACCACCAGTTATTTTAATTTGATTGGGTTTTATCTTATCCAAATAGGTCGAGTTTGGGTGGATTTTCGAAATTATGGATATGTTTGCCATTCTTATTAGTATTATATTGAAGTGTTTACTGCCAAAGATATTACTCATGTACACGGTATATATCTTCACTTGTATTATGCATGTTTTAGAGCACATTTTTGCAACCTATAATTTATTAAGATCACAATTTTCATGTTTTTTTATCATTTTAACTATTTTACAAAATAATTAGTCCCACGAAACTAAAAATAACTAAACATATAATTCATTATTACTAAGATTCGAACTTGCAACCTCTGAGAGTCCAAATTATTATCACTTAAAGCATTTAGCAAATAAGATAAGTTCTATTTGAAGCTATTAAGAAGATTAGAATTGATAATCATATTATCAAATAAGAACTAACATTTAAATTTTATCTTTTCCCATGCTCCATTTTAAAAAAAAAAATTAGCTCTATGTTCTATATAAACTAGTTTAAGGAAATTGTCATGGATAAATTATGTATATATATTACCTATTTTATAGCAACTTTTTGTCACTTGATGTAGTAAGATCAAAGTTTTCCATATTGTTTTTTCAATTTTTTTATGAATAATTAAGTTCCAGTTAGCTAAAACAAATAAACACTAGATCTCATTGTCCGCGCTTCGCACCGGGAAGGGTGTTCGCATAGATTTATAGTTGTGTTGTCTGTTGGTTTAAGGGTAACAAAATGAAAATACTACATGATAACGTAAACCAATATTATTAAGCTTTTCAAAGAAAAAAAATACAAATATTATCCAAAGCAACAATAAAAGGATGCCGGGGTTTTGTTTTTTCAATTTTAAAGTACGTGGCCAATCGAAACTTTACCATTTCCTTCTTTCTTTACCTATAGAAATGCCTGCTGAGTTTCCATCAAAAAAAGAAATGCCTGCTGAGTTTTTACTAAAGGCGTAGAACAGAATATTGTATATTACAAACCTAAGAATTAGAGAATTGTTCAAACATTACCCAATAAATCATATGAGAAGACATGTTTGCAAGTCATAAGCACTTAATGTGCCCTTGGATAAATGCCAAGCAGCCTTTCTTATACACGTTCTGTAACACTCTGTATCCCAAGAATCTGAAGTTCATCCATTGGGGTTTTTAAACCCACAGAACGAATACTCTTGCCATATGTGAATTCCAACATTGAACGTTCTTGTTTATAGCCTGTCACACCCATGGGAACAGGCGTCGTCCGTGGCTGAAACTGTAAGCAAGCAAGCACTTGTACCTGACAGTCTCACTTCCAATTTTAATTTTATCTTGCAATCAAGTCCTTGGATTCTTAGACAAACGTTGTGCTAAACTGAAAAGAGGGAACAATCTAAAGGAAAACATAGAAATATAATAATAAGTAAAATGAGGAATATCATAATTGACTAATCCAGACACAAATTGCAAAGGTTGGAAACGATAAAAGAGATGGATAATGCATAGGTGAAGGTGAGAGGGAGATGATGACAAAGATCGCCAGCATTGTATATGGGAAACATTTGAATGGAATCACCAAGAATAAGAAAAAATCATACATAATCTTACCGTATCCACATAAATTTTACTTGTCGTCCAAAGCCAATTCGTTCCAGCAGTCCAAAACACAGCCGCAGAAATCAAAGAACTGAAGAGAAATTAGGGTACGACAACGACAAAAAAGTATAAGCAAAACAAAACTGAGACGCAACAAAATGGAAGGTATTAGATCTCAAAAGCCCGAAAAGTAATATTACGGTATTAGATCTTCAAACACAAACCTGCAGATGTGCCTTCTCTGAAACTTTTGTACCTTTCAAATCCCTTGATCAAGCTGGAGTTCCATTGATCTCTATGCGGCACGTAGAAGAAAGAAAGACAAATAAGTCAACCTTCATTTTCATTTGATGGAGAGAAAAAAAAGCGACAGAGGAGAACATAAAAGTGCCTTCCCCAATAGATCACAGCAGTTTCCACGATGACCACTACCAAAAAAATCTGCTTTGGTCAAAACCCAAGTCTGGCAGATCAGAAAAAAAAAAAGAGAATATAAAAGTGAGATACTCGAAACAAAGGGTAAATGCCACATCTGGTCACAGGGATTATTAAATTGTGTCATGTTTAGTTACTAGAAAAATTTACTATCAATTTTGGTCACTCGAATTATTGAAACATGTCACATTTAGTCACTCTCTCATTAGCCTCCGTCCAACTCCGGTCACTCGAATTACTGAAACATGTCACATTTAGCTGGACAGAAACTAACGAGAGAATGACTAAATGTGACATGTTTCAATAATTCGAGTGACCAAAATTGATATTAAATTTTTCGAATGACTAAACATGACACGATTTAGTAATCTCGGTGACCAAATGTGGCATTTACCCATACTATCCTTTTCTATTTATTTGTCATGTTTATAATATGTATACAAATCAAGGACAATATCATAATGTGCAAAGGACAATAAGAATAAATGGGGAAATTTCGTTTAACCTTTAACGTAACGTATATCAGTTACCAATTCTTATCTTTTTTTTTCAAAAGTAACATATAACAACGTATATTAGAACCGGGAAACAAAGAATTACACATTTTATGAAAATATCAAAGGAAACTAGAACACAAGAAGGGTATAAAAAATCTAACTCATGTTCGCACATTAATTGAATATTTTTATTATTTCTTTGTTGTTAATTAATTGATTATTTATAATATATACAATAGGTAAATGTGAATGCAATCTTGAAACTTTAAAAGTTCATGAGGGTATATGAGTAAAATATTATCATGAATTTATTACATATTACAAATTTCACATTAATATGTGAGATTTACAAGTCTGTCGAATCCACGGATTTATACATTTAAAATTCGTGGGCCCATAAATTTGATCCCTAAATGAATTGAAAAAAAAGATGGAATTTTCTTAAATCCATGATGGATGGAATGGATTTAGTACCAAACGACCCCTAAGCGTCACTAAGATCAATACAAAACCACCGGAGGGCCCAATAGAAGGCACACAACTGTATTGCAAGCCCAATTCATAGGAAGACATGGAGACGAGCTCGTTAGCACAGAGGGAAGATTTTGGATGCTCGGGGGATAGAAACGAAAATCCCCTAGCCACGGCAGCCGAACTACTAAGGCAAAATACACTTTCATAGCCATAACTATTCGCGTTGTGACAAATATAATCATTTTTTGAAAAATACACTCGTATAGCCATTCCGTCCAAAACTTTAACGACAATATCTTAAATGCTGACTGTACTAACGTTTTCTGGTGATGTGGCGATTTTTTTGTTTAAACCAATCCTAGGTGGAAAGTTTCCTTTCTTATTTTATTATAATTACAATAAAAAGTAAAAATAAATAAAAATGAAAAACCGAACTTCATCATCTTCTTTTCCCCTTCTTTTCATCTACCCAACCCAGGAGACCCATCACGATTCTCTTCCCCGTTGTCCATACATCCCGTCGGCTGTTGTCGATTGAGTTTTACCCAGAGTATTCTGTCTCACTTCTCACTAAAACCCCTCCACCATCACTCCAAATCGAAGGCGGCACCCACAAGCTCATTCCCCTTAGCCTAGCGAACAAGAACATGAAGAAGGTCGAGACCGTCGGCCAGGCGATCGACGACATCGGTGCCACCGTGTGGAAATCCATGGCCCAGATCATCTCCCACGATAGAGATCTCTCCAATGCTTTTTCCCCTGATTATGATTCCAATTCCTCCAATAACGGCGGCGGGGAGCGGGGCGCGTCTTTGTCGTCGAAACCCTACAATAGGTAAGATGCGCAATTGCTTGCTATGCAGAGCAAATTGAATACCTACGAGATTGCGGAGCTCCGTTGTGGTAAATAAGAGGGCAATAGAGCTGGAGGGAAGTCACGTCGGCGGTGGGGAAACTAAAGGAGAATCGATGCTGTAGATAGACGAGAGCAGAACAGAGCTGGGGTTTCTTCACCTGTCGGCAGCGAAAGAGAAAGGGAGAAATGAAGGTCGCGGCTGCTCTATGCCTCTCGGCTTGGATGGAGAAGCGATGCGGTCGATTGGAGGTGGAATCCTCTCCGAGGAAATCGTCGATCTCCGGCCAAGTCCTCACCTTGATGGCGTTCACGGCAACCGCTCGTCCTCTTTCATCATTGTTATTGACTGGGGACGGGTTAGGTTGTGAGCAACGAAATTGATTTCGTCAAATCAAGAAGAAGAAGAAGAAGGGAGCTGGTGTGCAGGATTTTTGTGGTCTCGATTGGATTTTGGATCCGGATGGCGGAGGTAATTAGCGAGGAGAAATTAAATGGGTACTAGTTAATTATATAATAATTTTTTTAATCTGTTGGTGGAATCCAAGTCAGCGGTGATGTGGGCAAACCGAGTCTAGTTGGCGACGACATGTCATCCAGGTGGAAGCCATGTCACTTGGCGATGACGGCATCCGTGATGACTTTAACGGCAGTAACAGAAATGGCTATAGTTGACATTAAAGTTTTACAAACTTTTAATTTTTGGCTATACGAGTGCATTTTTCAAAAAGTGACCATATTTGTCACAACGCGAATAGTTATGGCTATAAAAGTGTATTTTGCCAACTACTAAATAAGACCCATGTTCTCGAAACAAAGCAGGAAAAGAAAAATTGGAGCAGAAGAATCAAAAGCACGGAAAGTTACTTTGTTGTTAATGCTATACTTAAGACTCAAGCTCCACCTACAGCTACAGCTACAACCTCGACGGCTCTTGCAACATACATACATACGTCCACAAAGACACTTGCGTCCATTCCAAATCTACAACCAGAATTTACCATCACCACTACTTCTTCCGCAACTTCCTAGCAGATGAAGAAGAATTACCATTACCAACAACAACAGGAGGAGGAACGCCATTGTGTTGTTTCGAAGTCTTCTTGCCGGCGGCAATGATCATGGTCTCCTCGTATCGGCCAGCCAGCGAGTCGAACAGCAGACCCGCGGCATAACCGGCTGCCAGATCGATGGTGTAGTGACCCCTCGACCCCAGGAGCCTGACCACCTGCAACACGTTGAGAATGTCGTACGCCCACGCTAGCCCGTACCTCTGCATTCTCCTCATGTCTTGCGACGCGATCACCGATCCGGCCACGTGCCCCGAGTAGAAGAGGAAGAAGGACACGTTCCCTACGGGGAAGTCCACCCCGGACCCTAAGTATCCCTGCCAAATTGAACCAACTTATGGTCAGCTGAGTTTCGATAGATATTACAACAAGGGAAAGTTTCTCTAAGGAACAAGTTTGGGTTCTTTTTTCCAACCAGTCCGCTTGTTAATTACCTCGGGGAGAGGGAGCTGAGTGGTGTAGCCAAGAATGCCGCGGCAAGTGAACATGAAGAGCGCAGCGATGGTGGGTCTGGCCCTTCCTTCCACCAGAAACGTCCAGAATATGTAGCTCGCTTGCATTCCCACGAATACCTGCAAAAACCATTACCGGCCCATCACATACAAGCTTGGGCCAAGCCCACCGGATACAGTTTCATCGTGTCGGGCCCATGGGACCTCCAGTTAGCTACTTAGCTAAGCCCAAATAAATTTCAGCTACAAACTGTAAGGTCAAATTTGATGAGCTTAGGATCCTTTTTGTTAGGTATAAATGCATTTGAATTTTGATGTGAGGCGGGTGAGCCATTTTAATATTTCTGAAAGCTCCTTGTTTGATCTTTGAATATCTCCCCTCGCTTGTCCTTTTTCCTACGAAACACCCCTTCTCGCTTTAAAGTTTAAATGCTTCTTTTTACGCGTTTTATGGCTCAGCCAGCAACTCGTTTGGTTGAACGCCGGCTAACAAACAAAACAAGAACCACGGCCCCAAGCAGACAACATAGATACTCACATTCAGATACCAAGTCACATGCATGGAATTAATGGGAAAGATTCTTCTTCCTTTTTCTTCAACTTTTAATTTTGTTATCCTCAATTTTCAGAAAACAAGAGACACGATTTATTTTATAAAAAAATTGAATTATGATTATACTACGATTCACATACTTAATAGTGAAAATTACTTTATTATTAACTCATCCGGTACAACCTCCATTACGGTATAAAGTGTTGAGTCGGATTGGAGTTCGTATGGTTGATGAACGACCTCAGCCATCAAAATATATATTATTATAAAAAAAAAAGAAAGGGACAACGTGCACCCCTGACGATTTTAGGACAGTACCGTAAAAGAGACAAATAAATAAATAATCAAATCATAGAAAGTCCGATGAAAAAAGAAAACAAGAAATTGACAAATCTAAGTAATTATCACTACTTAAACTAATCAAATCCCAAAAACAGAAAATCAGCGCAAAAGCAGGCAAATTAAAATGAAGAAAAATGGGGAAACAACAACATGCAGAGAGAGATTTCGGAACAAATCTGGAGATTACTTTACCGTATTAAGAGCGGCGAGCAAGTTGTTGAGCTCCGGCGACGAGGAAAGCAGGCGGTGGAGACGACGCGTCGCCACGAACCCCAAGTCAAACGGCGGCGACGACGTGGGGACCATGCTGAGGGTGTACTCCACCCACATGAAGAACAAGAGGGCGCCGCCCAGAATCACCGGCAGCCAGTGATGCCGTACCACATTCTTCGCGTCCGCCACCCTCCACGTCATGAATGCGGCCGCCGCCGCCGCTGCCGGAGTCGCGCCCATTGGGTACTGACCGTCGCTGGTGTGGTGACTGGCCTTCTTGCGCTTCAACGGAAGAGTGACGGGGGTGGTTTCTGTTGTTGTAATGGCAGCAGCTGCGGCGGCCGCGGGTGAGGCATTCATGGCAGGGTGGAAAATGATGATGATAATAATAGAGAGTTAATTAAAGGAGTGGTGTCAGTTTGGGAAAAGAATGGAGAGAAAGGAAGGTGGGAAGGTGGAGTTGAGCATAAATGTAGGGTGGTGGGGGGAAAAGACGTGGTTGGGAAAGAGAGATGTGGTTGGGAAAAGAGAGAGAGATGGGCGGAGTTTACTAAGAAAGGTAGAAGTTTGTAGGGGGCAAATTCGTAAATATATATGCCACCGTCCTGCTAAATCTGGTGGCCGTCAATTCAATCCAAAAAAATCTCAGTTATCCAGTTGTGGGTTGTTTTGACTATGAAGTATGAACAATGGCAAAGGGCCGCGCGGGCATAATGACTCGAGTCGAATCGAGTACATGGTACATGAAACTGTATCGTATCGACGGTTCAACCACGAAATATTAGTATTGGAGGCTAAATTAGTAGGCGGTATTTATTGAACTACGGTCATATCACGGTTTTATCATAAAATATTACACCACTGACTTTTCCGATACGATATTCAATACGGTTTCATGTACCATGATCGAGTATAGTTTTGTTCTCATTTCATCTATTAACGAGTTGAATTGAATTCAAGTTTGTTCATTTATTAAAATATTTTCATTAAAATCACAAATTTGATTCGAGCTCAACTTATTGAACTCTAAAATTAAACTCTTAAATCATTTACATTATTTAGTTCATAAACTTTAACTAGCTCATACATTTTAATTTTATAGTAGTTATTATCTAATCAATCTAAGAACAGAAGTTATCTTTTAAATTATAAATGAGACATTTGCTCACATGCTCAAAGTATTAAACGTCATATGGGGTGTTAGATACAATTTAACAAACCTATGAATTATCATTCAACAAGTCAATTAAGAAGATATAGATTGATTTGTTCATAAGTCAGTAGTCTAGCTGCACATTAGGTACAATGTTGAGACATTTCATGAGCTCGCAACGAGACAGTTCACGAGTTAACTTCAACAAGCCACCGAGTTGAGAGGACTCGTGAGCCTCGCCAGCTGAACAAAGTTTATCTCAACCTCAACTTGATAATCAACAAGTCGAAATTAGAACGACATTTTCTCGAATCGAATCGATCGTGAACCACTCAGCTCATTAGCAATCCTACGTGGTGATGACATTTCTTAACCAGAAAACCTGTTATTTCGGTTTAGGTTTGTTTGATTTGATTGTTATCGAAGTCAATCCACAAAAATTCGATATACGTTAACCAAATTGATTGATAACCCCGGCCCATGCTCAAATCATAACAACTCGATCTGGTTGACCTGTACCTCTTACAGCAGGTTCGATATGAGAATCGATATATGCAGCCCTAAGCTTTGTTGCTTCAACTTTGTTCTCGAGTTCCAAACATCAAACGTTGAACTGACAAATGTTATATGCAATGTATCTGTATTCTGTAGTATATCAATATACTGCATTCGGGAAAGCAAACCACGCACTAGCTATGTACTCCATTAACAACATACCCTCTATCTACTTACAATTCATTCTGCCAAACCCAGTCCAAAACTTCCTAACATAAAGAAACAGGGTTTACTGCATTGTAGGAGGAAAGAGTGTGACCTTTTTGTTAGTTAGTCCTGCACACTGAAATCATCAAGCAGAGCAGTGAATCTGTACACGTTTCTGTAAACTCTATCATGGTGGATGCTGAGCATATACATCCTCTCATTCTTCACAACATTAAAGGGCCTTCATCAGAATGAACCCTTAATCACCAGGTGCTTCACAGGAATTGTTAAAGGACCCTTTGGCAACTTGAGTTTTGCTGCATGGTTGTGGATCACTTCCTGCACTTTCACAAACGCCACAAAGAACTCTGCAGCCTTGGTCTGCCCAAGTACCTTCTTCACAAGCAGTTCCAACGTCTTAAACCTACCAAGCAACACAAAAACCAATCAAAGCAAGAAGAGAAGAAAGAAAAACGAAACATCATTGGCCTAATCCAATCATCTGTAGGCTCCATAGATATGTGCACTCACACACACATACCTGAGCTGCTGAGCCTTAGCTATGGCGCTCTGAATCTTCCTGAACTCAGTTTCAATGCAGCCCATCTCATCACCATACCCTGATTGCTGCGGGCTATTCACAAAGGGCAGATGGAGGACACACGTGGCCTGAATCTCGGCCATTTCCTCATCAATCACCGCCTCCTCGATCCTTATCTCGTGCATCAGCTGCGACATGTTACTTTCATCTGATGAGCTGGAAGAAGAGCAGTGAGCTAGTCCGCATAGGAGCTCCAGAATTGATGAGGGGCGCCAGTCTCCTAGCCATGCCAGAGTGGCTAGCTCGTGTGGGGGTGCAGAGCTAGGCATGAGAAGCTGAGAGACGTCGTTGAGCTTGGTAGGGATGATGAAACGATGATAGTGAGCATGGAATCTATTCAACTGGTCATGAATTGATTCCTCGGATTCCCATCTTGCCTTGAGTTGTTTCTGTAGCCTTGCTGCTCTAGTTTTCTGCTCTTGCCTCCATAGACCGTACTTTCCCCAATACCCTTCTTTATCCAAACAAAACCATACAAAGACATCAATTCACGAGAATCGTGCATAGATGCAAACAACCCATGTCTCTTTTGGTTCTTTGTTCTTGATTTTCATCTCGAATTTTCTCAAAAACCAATTAGGGCAGTGAAGCAATGAATATGTACCGCACTGATTACAAAGGGAAAGAGTAGCTGATAGTCAAGTTTAGGCAGGCATTCCTCAATGAAGAAGAACAACACATGATTGCAAAGAAAGAACTGAAATTGGTCCGAGAGTTCTATTTACCTTTCTGATGGGTGATATCCTGCTTGCGAAATGTTATCATGCATTGGATAACTTGGGTTCCATCGCTTTCATCAACGTCGTCTCCTTTAGAGCCTTCCTCCCTTGACATTCCTTCGCCTTCTTGCCTGATCTCACGGTCCGTCGCTTCATAAGAATTCCTGGAAAGGATCAAACGAACGTTTAGAAGGGAAAATCTTGGACATTTTCCCGAATTCCCTCCACTTTTTCTCAGCCAGCAAACACATTGAGTAGCAGGAAACCCCTAATCAATTCATGACCAGTTATGGGGAGAAAGAAAATGCAAAGGAACGAAGAGAGTAACAATTGAAGGCAATAGCAAGGATGCCAAGAAACTCGTAATCAATTCTGAACACCACTACTGGAAACCCCATTCTTCGATCGGCCTACTGGAAAGAAAAGAAAAGAAAACTTAAACCCCCGATTTCATTTCTTCCCCCCGAGAAAGGGAAAGAAAAAGTTTTCCCGGAAACCCAACAGGGCAGTGAGTGAAGCACGGGCGGCATTGTTTTATTCTTGTGGTATCGAATCTTACCAGAGGAACTGCGGCACTGTCTTCTTCATCGTTCTCTCCTCGCAGCATTGATTGAGTAACCAATGAGGATGGGATTTTCTTGTTGCTCTCTCTGTAAACAGGCTCCGACTCCGAGCTTCCCGGACGGAGTGTTTTCTTCAGCTCCTAAACAGCCTCAACCAGCCTTCACAAAAAAATCAGTAGCAACTAGCAACAGGGGAGGGGGGGAAATAGGAAAATAGGCATCGGGCCGTTATTTAGAGGTAATATCCCGCGGGCTTCGGACCAAAATGGTCAATCTTCTTTCCGATGAATTTGGGCCTTGGTGCAACCACCCTGAACCAGAGTACCAGACACTGCTGCACCCTGCACACCTTTTTATTTTACTTTTTTTTTTTTTTTTACAGAAAGATCTTTATTGAACTTTGAAAGATCGGTTACTGAGAGAAAAATAAACTCTGAATTCAAAACAAGATCTAGGCAAACAAGGAACACTGGTTAACATCAAACCAGGCCTGGGAAAAAACAACAGGCAGGGGGAGTAAGGCACAAATTGACCTCACACAAAACCAGTCTAGCTCTTGAAACAAAGGCAATACATTCAAAATCCCCCTCTCTTCCAACCAAACCAAGTAGCAAGAAGATCATAACAATTTGTCTAATCACAACGAGATTCATAGCTATTGAACATAGCAAAGTCATACATTGTCTCATGGGGATTGCTCAAAGACATCCATCAGACCATCACAGTGAATCTCAACGCGAGATTGACTGACGATGGAAGAGGTTGTGAAACTGATTACTCCAAACTGTGAAGGCAGAGGGGGCCAAGGCAGAGAGGATAGGTTCAAATGGGAGCAAGCTTCCTAGGAGAGCCACAGACCGCCACAAAGGAACCGACTTCCACCACAGCAACTGGAGATGACTCCCCCCTCCACGATTCGACTGCCATCCAAGCACCAACAACATCAAGGGGAGGCCAGAGGAGGAAAGATGAGAATGACTTCACCTTAGAGATGAGATCGCCAACCTAGAAGAGCAACCGTCATATAGCTAAGATCAAGTTTCCTAAGTTGCAACCTCCAGTTCTCCAAATGAGCAAGCCTTTAAACTGGAAATCATAGATTTTGAAGGTCATAACGGCTGGAGATATTAAAATATTTAGAGAAAAGGCACCTAGAACGTAGGCAAGAGGATCGAGATCATGGAAAGCAAGAAAAGCGGAAGAACATAAGCAAGAAAATTGGGTTGCTGCCAGTCACCTGAGGGAGCCGGCGGCAGCCATGGAAGGCTGGATAATGGAGGCTCTTTAAAGAGAAGAGATAGTGAAATTTGAAAGGTAAAGTAAGAGAGAGAAGTTAGGGATTGAAAGTTAATCATCCACCTATGATGAGGTGGAGGATGAAAAATATAGATACAAGCTCGTTTTGAAATGGAAGTAGAAGAGAGGAGAAAACATTTTTAATGAAACGTTGTCGTATTGAGCATCGCATTATTGTTTGTTTTGTCGTAAGCGAATCTAGTTAAGCCACGTGTCGCCCGTAGTGTATACTTCTCTTAATTACTGTATCAACAATATATATAAAAAGAACGAAATGTGAAACTCAGCTCTCTTCGAGGCTTTTTTTATCCACCTCTGCTGCTAGCTCTATACTTTTCTACATTGTATTAGAGCCTTAGATTTGAAGCTTGCTCACGGTAGAAATGTCCGACACTACTCCACCGGCTCGCAGTCCTCGTTGAAGAGGTTCAACCAATGGTGTTGGATTCCAATTTGGGAGCTATGGTAGAGTCATCAAATCAGGGATACTGAGGTGTGATCCACTTTGGAAACCCCTTCTATATCAACCCAAACGAGAATTTGTCTTAGTCTATCACCGATGAGGTTTTGAATGGTACGAATCACTCAATGTGGAGTTGGTCTATGTGAATAGCATTGAAGATGAAGCACAATTTGGATTTGTTTGATGAGTCAATTGCAACTCTCGTTGTTAGAGATGTTCAGTTTTACTTGTCGATGGATGCAATACTCTCATATTATGTTGGATTATTGCACTAAGCGTGATGAACCATGAGATTGTTCGTGTTCTTTTGGGATGAATTGAAGAGGTACTTTGGACAAACCAATGCTCTTCGAATTACCAATCTGGAAGACGAGATCCATGCTTGCAAGACAGGTGACAAGATTGTTACATAGTTTTACATTGTGATCAAGGGTTTGCGGGTTTGTGGAAGACGAGGTTATTTGCAATTATCTTCGAATGTTCCTTATACTTGCACACATGGGCCCTGGTAACCCTAATATTTGTTTTGTTGTTGAAGCTTTCAAAATGAAACAAGAGATTGACTATTTGATTCGATTCCTGAGGGGTATTAACAAGGAATATGATGTGACTAAGACCTAGTTGCTTATGCTCAAGCCATCCTTCATTGTGTCTGTTACAGTAGACAACATTCTCCAGCATGAGCATAAGCTTAAAGGAGACACCTCAAGCGCTAAGAGTAGCCAGTTTGTGGCCCTAGCCGTTCAAAAAGATCAGTAAAAGGGAAGCAAGAAGCTACTTCTGAGAAGCAATTTTGTATATATTGTAAACCTACTGATCATAACATCAAAGACTGTTGGAAATTGTAAGAGAAAGAGAAGGAGAAGGCACCCAATGGCTTTGTTAGTTCGGTTACTAGGGATGGCCAGTCCTCCGATAGCAACAACATAGTTTCTTATGATAGATATGATCCTTCAAAATCCACTATGGGACTTTCTTCTGATGATATTAATTGTTTCAATTTGGTATGGATCCCCAAATCTCCAAGATCATCAAGGATGAAACCTAAGACATTTTTACTCTCTCGATACATACCTACTTTTGCTAATCATGCTGGTAATTATATCCTTTCTCACACCTATAAATGGATCACTATGCCATAGCATCTATATGCATTTTGGATATTGGGACCTCTGATTATATCACATATAGTTTACATTTTTTTCATTGATCATTCTGTGGTCACAAACACCTATATATACTTGCCAAACAACTCTTAAGATTTTTACGAGTCATATAGACACTGTTAAACTGCCATTCAGACTTCTCTTACACAAAACCCTGCTACTGCCAAATTTTACTTTTAACCTCATTTCAGCCAGCAAGTTGACTAGTGACTACCTATCTCTCTGCAATTTCCACTATGATGTATGTGAACTCCAGGACCTTTAGATCCGGAAGAATATTGGTTTGTCAAAACAAAGTAGGGGGTATGTACCATCTTACACCCACCATATATTCATTTCCATACGAGGATTCCAACAATCATCTAGTTGCCACCACCTACAACTTTCATCCATAATAAGTCAACTTATGGAATTGACGTTTAGGACATCCTAGTAGAGACAAATACCAATTACTTAAGCTTTAAAATTTCATTTGTAATAGTGAACTTGTTACTCACTATGATATTTGTCATAAAACTTCCCTTTCATGTTAATGAGAATCATGCCCTTGAGGCTTTCCATTTAATACATGTTGATATATGTGCCCTAGTACCTGTGCAATCATATGATGACTATTCTTACTTTAGCACTGTAGTTGACTATAGTAGAGTTGTGTGGATTTGCCTTATGCATAGTAAAAGTGAAGCTTGAGAATTGTTACTAGGCTTATGTTGTCTTGTTGAGAGACAATTTGGTAAGACTGTGAAAAGGGTTCGTAGTGTTCAAAGAAAGGATTTTCATATGAGTTATTTTTACATGGTTGGCATTGAACAATATATTTCATGTGTTGAAACTTCTGAGCATAATGGTGGAGTAGAACTTAAGCACCAACATTTCTTGAATGTTGCTTGTGCTCTAAGGTTTCAATATGGTGTTGCACTGCAATTATGGAGTGATTTTATCCTTCACTTAGTGAATCTTCTAAATTGCCTTCCTACTCATGTTCTTAAAAACAAATCACCTTATGTTTTGTTGTTTCAAAAACCATCTGACCTTAGTCAATGGAAAGTTTTTGGATGCCTTGGTTATACTTCCACGCTCACAAAAGGGAGGACAAAGTTCCAACATCGTCTTAAAAATGCATCTTCCTCGGACACCCTTATGGCATCAAAGGTTTCAAAAAATTTATACATCAATGATCGCAATATGTTTATTCCTAGCAATGTTATCTTCTATGAGAACATTCTACTCTTTAAAACTTCTTCATACATACCTTCTATCACTTCACCACCTCTCATTCCTCCTATTCCCTCTCTACCTTTAGCTCACACATCTATTCATTTTTTTTCCTCCTAACATTTATGCTAATGAGGAATTAAGGGGACGTAGGACATCAACTTATTATCATGACCGAGGATACTCTCACTGACAATGAAGACTCACCTGAGATTTCTGTTGATCAAGTAGGGGAATCTAATGATGATTTATCTAAGCTATAAGTTTAGGAAGACTATGAAGGGAGGCCAATTTGTGCCAATAGAGGCAATTTGACATCTTGGTTGGAGGATTACTATGTGGGAAGTACTAGCAGGTATCCTATGAGTGAATTCATGAATTTAAATCAGTTACCACACATTAACAAATTTTATGCAATGAATGTTGCTTTTGAATTGGAATCTACCACTTATAGGGAGACTGCTGAGGCTAAACACTGGAGAAGGGCCATAATTGAGGAAACTCAAGCTTTGAAAGAAAACCATACTTGGGATGTTGTCACATTGTTAAATAACAAAAGGGCTATACACAACAAATGGGTGTTTAAGATTAAAAGCATGTCTAATGGAATCATAGAAAGATACAAAGAGAGATTGGTGGAAAAGGGTTTTAAACATGTGTATGTAAGTGACTTCTTGGACACCTATTTCCATATGGCTAATGGTTCAGATAGGTGAGTGTGCAAGCTAAGAAAACCTCTTTGCGGCCTTTAACAAGCAAGCAAACAATGATTTGCTAAGTTTACTTCTTCATAGTTGAAACATGTTTTTTCACAATCTATTTCGATTATATTGTATTTACAAAGTGGGTAAATGGACTTATTGTAGTCATGATTGTTTATTTTGATGACGTAGTCCTTGGTCTGGATGATAAAGGTGGCATAGAAGAAGTGAAGAAGTTCCTTAGCTGAAACTTAAAGATAAATGGTTTGGGGCATTTAAAGGAATTTCTTGGAATCGCGATTCGGATAAGCAACAAAGCTATAACACTGTGCCATATGCACGAAGCTTCTAAAAGACACTGGACATTTTGATGCCAAGCTTTGCAAAACACCCTGGATTCCAAAGTCACACTCCCCACTTGCAAATACAGAGTTATATAGGAGACTAATGGGGTGACTACATTACTTGACAACAACCAAGCTTGATTTGAATTACCCTAGGTAGCAACCGAGGCAATTCCAAAAGGACCCCAATGCAAAACACTTTCAAGTAGCTGAAGAATAATAAGATACATTAAAGGGTCACCTAATAAAGCGATTTTCTTTAAGAGTGATTCTCATTGAAGTTCTCATGTAACAATGACTCAACTTGGACGAGTGGCATTTATTGATTATTCTAGAAGATTAGTAAGTGGATAATGCACTTTTCTTGGAAGTTCTTTGATCACTATTGTGCATTGTACTGATACGAGGACAATATCCTCACTGATGTGGTTAGATATTTTCTTGTCTCAGGTTGACCTCGTAAGCAGATAGTTACCCCCTATCTAAAATTGAAAGTTATGCGTCATCATAGAGGTCTAGTAAGTTGTTGATTTTTAGTATGATTTGCTTTGGGACAAACAAAGTTCAATTGCGGAGTTATTAGATGACACTTCAAATGTATGTTTTCATCACCTCATCTCAAAATATGTTACATTTTTTCTACACATATGTGGTTATTCTGACTGGAATTAATTGTTATTTGATCAAAGGTGTGTTTAGTAGCCTCTGTGTGATTATATACTTCTGATACCTTTTGTAGGGGTGTAAACTTGACCCTAAAAACCCAGGGCTGGGGCGAGTTGGTTTGTCTACAGGGTCAGTTTAGGGTCAGGTTATCTTTTGACCCTGTAAGGGTCGAGGCGGGTCGGATCATTTTTTGACCCTTAGATATGAAATTCCACATACAAACACATTGAACCTGTTTCTAAAATTTTAAAAGTTTAAGTACTAAATTATAAAAATAAATAAATTTGGGTACCAAAACGTAATTTTACCATCAAAATTTAAGGACTTATTTGTAAAAAAAATAGATTTAGTTAGTAAATTGTAAGAAAAAATAATTTTGGGTACCAAAATATCAGTGTGTTGATAAGGGTCAAAAAGGAAACAGGGGCGGGTAGGGTCAGTTATACATCTTAACCCTTCAGGGTCGGGTCAGATAGGGCCAGGGCAGGATCGGGAGGGGGGGGGGCAGGGTAATTTTTAGCCCTACCTTTTTGTAGTGTTTTGGAAATATTCTGGAAAACTACTACCTACTGTAACCAACAAACTATTCAAATGAACAAAGCAACAAATCAATCAAATTCTAACAACTAAACTTCCTACACAATAAGGAGTAATTCCCCTCGCACATTATCAAAACATATATTTAACTTATTCACAAATAAGGTTCTTAGAGCTTGATATTGTTGTTGCTACTCTATTGCTAAATTCTTGTGGCATATACCTTGCTTTTCTCTTCCAAAATTTTGATTTGAATTAGATATAGGTTTTGGAATTTTATATGGCCATAAAATGGTATGAATTGATAGTATGATAAACAGTTTGATATCTTCCATACAAGTTTATTATTTGCATGAAGTGAAATGAATAATGTCATATTTTTGTCAGTTGTTTGGATGAGGTGTCGGGTTTAGATGAAATTTAGTTGAATTTGTGTTAGAAAGACCACATGACATTTTTAATCAATTGGGTGGTATGTCATGCTTATGTGGTTATCATAGATAGAAAACTCAATCAAAACTAACAAAATGATAGTTGTCTTACTTAGCCTAGTTGTGGTAAATAATTACCTATGTGAACAATGGGTATAGGTTACCTAATTTTTATTTGGTATTTAAGTTCTATCGCCAAATGTACAACGTATAATTACCTAGCTGCTCAATCATACCTATCATTTGGGGATGAGAATGGAACTAATTTATTAACTCATCTAAAAAAACCAAATCAATATATCAAGATGATCTTATTCAATAATATTAACCACTAAATTATCTTTGTCCATCCATGAGACACACCATTGATTATCTTTTCACATCTCTCAAAACTCACCACACAAACCATACACACTTGTCCTTATTTTGCTGATAATTAATCCATCTCCCTCATGGAGATTATAATCTTTAAGACGTATAATCTTTCCCGTACGTATTTTATATGTAACTTTTCCATATCTTAATTTACTAATTATGTACTCAACTACTACCATACGTTATGGTTGCTGAATTCACTCACCTAGTCCAAGAATTACCGTTTGCACGTCCTTTTGTTCATTCTCATCCTCTTAGGTCCTTACTACTGTGTCTCAAACCCATATTTGACTCACTGTTCATCCTTCCTAAGGTTATGCTACATGCATGGTGGTAAAGTTAGATGAGTTGATCCTATACATAAGGCTTCATGAAGTCACACTAGAAGGGGATTATGTTGTCGTGATCTGGCAGCTTCTTTGGGGCATAGAATCTGATATAGTTGGAGGTCCAATGTTTAGAGACAGTCTTCAGATGACAGGTGCTTTAGGTATATACTTAGAGGTTTGTGTGGTCTCTAGAAGTGTCAAATGAGCTGCTTATAATGTGTCGAGAAAAGTAATTTCTCTAGCTAGTTTAGACTTGCTCTCACTTAATTTTATTTCTTGAATGGAGAGAGAATTTGCAGGACAATAGTGGGTTGGTACTAGTGATGGCAATTGCTATCTTGACCCGCACGACCCAACCTTCTCCGACTTGACTTGATTTGTTTGAGGTGGGTATTACCCGACCCACAATAGAATGGGGCAGGACATGTGTACTAATTTTGACTTGTCCCACCTTGTTCTCGATCTGTTTTATCATGACTTGCATCACTATATGCTTGTGTTTCTCATATTCTGACCTTTGTGACATCATATTTTCATCACAAAGAAATTTAAGACTCCATCTTTTAATTAGTTAGATTTAATTACTCATTTTACTATATATCTAAATCATTTCTTTGTTTTCTTGTAAAATAGGTAAATATCAACGTTTTGTTAATAAAATAACATATAAGAATTGGTTGTGTTAGCCGGGTTTGTAGCCGAACATGTATTTATCATACCTGACCGCGCTTAATGCGGGATGGATATGCATATTGAGGGACAAAATCCGAAAATGCCAAGTTACAAAAACAAATTCCCACAATACCACCCTTTAATCCCCCCCAACCCAAAAAAATACCTAAGTTTGGAGTAGTTTGCTCCAGTGTCAAACGAACTAGGTAGTGATTTTCTTGACACTAGAGCGGATCACATTGAAGGGGCCAGATCGCGATCGAATTTACATAAAAGACCCAAAATGAGTGTGGTTCGCGGCGGACCCCAGAGAACCACTCTTAATTAGAACTCAAATTAACGTAACTTTGCACTCGATTGTCCGATCGTAACAACCTTTTTTTATGATTTTGCATAACTTTTCAAGATCTACAACTTTCACTGGAAGAAATTTTCAAAAGTAGACATTTTATTGGAATTAAGGTGTTTTGAGAATGATCTAATATTTAATTTATACATTTTCGCATACATTATAAAAATACTTCTATATAAAAACTTGTAGTCCTTAAAAATTTAAGAACAATAAAAAAATTTGTGATGCTCGAACTGCGGAGCACAAAGTTACGATCTTTCAAAGTGTGGTGAAATAAAAAAAACGATCGGTTTGTGATAGCAAACAACATTAAAATTTTTTATTCCTAGTGAAAGTTGTAGATCTTGAAAAGTTATGCGGAATAAAAAAAATTCTACGAACCACACTCATTTTGGACATTTTTCAGTCGTTTTGACCGCGATCCTGCACCTTCGAATGTGGTTCGATCTTGGAGCGAACCGCTCCAAACTTGGGTATTTTGAAACTCGGGCATTTTCGGATTTTGTCCCATGTTGAGCTACGGTACCACCCAGCATTTTTAGAATAAAGTTGTTTTGGTGGGCTTCTCAGGTGGGCTGCAGCTCGCTTCGGGCCGTCAAAGTAGCAAACCACCTCGGCCTCCCAATGCAAAGGCGGTAAGCCGGTAAGGCGGTAACCCATTGGCTGGCAGATCTCGTGCCAGCGCCAATAAAACACATCTCTTACCTTTTTCGCCGAAGTTAATTTTGTTTTTCCTCTCTGTTAATTTTCCTTGCTCTCTTCTCTACTCAGTCCGGCACTGATAGATAGGGAGGGCGGACGTGCCTCGTTTCCAATCCTTCTGTACTCTAAAACCCTAACCTCGACAGAAGGTTTTGCAACCTCCTTCGCCGGAGATCAGTCGCCGTTAGATCCCATTTGTGTGTTTTCAAGTCTTCGCTAGGGTTCAGACTAGACGAATTCTGTTCTGAAAGGACCTAGAAGATGTGGAACAGTGGCGGAGGAGGTCCTCCAGGCGGGGAGCAGCATATTGCTCCCCCCGGGACCTTTTCCTCATCTATGCTTCCGCCGCCGCCAGCTGCTCCGATGCAGCCTTCTTACACGGTGCTTGCTCCGCAAACACCGCCTACCCCGGCGGAGGCTGAGGCTAAGCTCGAGGAAAAGGCTCGCAAGTGGCAGCAGCTGAACACGAAGCGGTATAGCGATAAGAGGAAGTTTGGTTTCGTCGAGACGCAGAAGGAGGACATGCCGCCGGAGCATGTCCGCAAAATTATTCGGTAAGTTTTATTGATCTGGTTGTTGTTTTGTGTCAATTATATGTTGAACTTTTGATTGTAATTAGTGGTTAGCTAGCGCAGTGCAAGTCTTGCTCTCTAGGGTTGGCTTTGTGATGGTGTTTCCTTTTGCAGGGACCATGGTGATATGTCGTCCAAGAAATATAGACATGATAAGCGTGTGTATTTGGGGGCTCTTAAATTCATCCCCCATGCTGTTTACAAGCTCCTTGAGAATATGCCAATGCCTTGGGAGCAGGTTCGGGATGTCAAGGTTCTTTACCATATTACAGGGGCCATCACTTTCGTGAATGAAATTCCGTGGGTTGTTGAACCCATTTACTTGGCACAGGTATTGTTACTTATATGCTCTATGTGGCGTGTGTATGGCTGTTGGATATTTGAAACTGTCGTTATATCAATTTCCTCATGGCGTTAACATCTTAGTATTGGATTGTTGCAGTGGGGTACAATGTGGATCATGATGCGAAGAGAGAAGAGGGATAGACGGCATTTCAAGCGTATGAGGTTTCCTCCATTCGATGACGAAGAGCCTCCTCTGGATTATGCTGATAACTTGTTGGACGTTGATCCTCTTGAGCCAATTCAATTAGAATTGGATGACGAGGAAGATGCAGCAGTTCACACATGGTTTTATGATCATAAGCCTCTTGTTAAGACAAAGCTCATTAATGGTCCAAGTTACAGGAAGTGGCATCTCTCTCTTCCTATCATGGCAACTTTGCACCGGTTGGCAGGGCAACTTCTATCTGATCTCATAGATCGCAACTATTTTTATCTGTTCGATATGGAGTCCTTCTTTACAGCAAAAGCTCTGAACATGTGCATACCAGGTATGAAAACTTAGAGTTCTGTTTGTTTCTGTAGTTCAACATCATCATTTGTATATTGTTACTGTTAATAATGGGATTTGTTGTCTCAGGGTTAAATAAATAAGAGGTCATTCCTTGTCCATTATAAATAACTGGAACTTTAAGGTGGTTTACCCAGGGAATCAGGCATTATTATTGTCTTCAATGTTCTTCTTGACTCTCATTCGTATTTGAAGGATTTAAAGGTCGCTCATATTTCTGTTCTTCAATCTAGAATGAGCCAATTATGTTTGAGGGAATATATAAAGAGCATGCTGATCTTCTAGTAGTTAATGCTAATTCCGGATTCCAGTCGAAAACCACCTCCTTGAAAAATCATATAGTGCACTTGAATAGCATTATGCCTAAAAACTATCTGGACAGCTCTAAATTTGCTGATAGAATTGTTACCAGACTTGGTCTACTGAATTAGGAGTGTTACTTGTTTAAATTAGAGAGTTCATTTTTATTTTTGTCACTTGTATAGGTTCACCTTAGTGCTACTTCATGTGATGTGATATTGATCTGTTGCAGTTCTAGATTTCTGTAGATTAAGTTGAACTATCTGCTGTTAATGTGCTCCTCTGCCAGATCATTGTCAGATGCTTTCTTTATCTGTGAACTGATTTAATTATTATGCAGGTGGTCCAAAGTTTGAACCCCTGTACCGTGACATGGAGAAAGGGGATGAAGATTGGAACGAGTTCAATGATATCAACAAGCTTATTATCCGGTCACCTCTTAGGACCGAGTATCGAATAGCATTTCCACATCTATACAATAACCGGCCCCGGAAAGTAAAACTTTGCATTTATCATACTCCAATGATTATGTTCATCAAAGCAGAGGACCCTGATCTACCTGCTTTCTATTATGATCCTCTTATACATCCGATAACATCTGCCAACAAGGAGAAACGCGAAAAGAATACTTTTGAGGAAGATGATGATGAGTTCACTTTGCCAGAAGGGGTGGAAGCTCTGCTAGAAGAGACACAGCTCTACACGGATACCACAGCCGCTGGGATTTCCTTGTTGTTTGCTCCCAGACCTTTTAATGTTAGATCTGGTCGGATGCGAAGGGCAGAAGATATACCTCTTGTTTCTGAGTGGTACAAGGAGCACTGGTGAGTATTGGTACTTCAGTGTTTTATGCTATAGGCAAGTAGGAGTTGTAATCATGCAACTTATGTTTATATTTGCTTGTTTTTTCAGCCCACCATCATATCCAGTGAAGGTACGCGTCAGCTATCAGAAACTGCTAAAGTGCTTCGTCTTAAACGAGCTTCATCATAGACCACCAAAAGCTCAAAAGAAGAAGCATTTGTTCCGTTCCTTAGCAGCCACCAAGTTCTTCCAATCTACAGAACTTGACTGGGCAGAAGCAGGTCTTCAAGTCTGCAAGCAGGGATATAACATGCTAAATCTGTTGATACACAGGAAGAATTTGAATTACCTTCACTTGGACTACAATTTCAATTTGAAGCCTGTCAAAACACTTACTACGAAGGAGCGCAAGAAGTCGCGATTTGGGAATGCATTTCATCTCTGTCGTGAGATTCTACGTCTAACAAAGCTTGTCGTTGATGCCAATATTCAGTTCCGATTGGGTAATGTGGATGCGTTCCAGCTGGCAGATGGTCTGCAATACATTTTCTCCCATGTGGGCCAGTTGACTGGGATGTATCGTTACAAGTACAGGCTGATGCGACAGATACGAATGTGCAAAGATTTGAAGCATTTGATATATTACCGGTTCAACACTGGTCCTGTGGGGAAAGGCCCTGGATGTGGGTTCTGGGCTCCAATGTGGCGAGTTTGGCTCTTCTTTCTGCGTGGAATAGTTCCTCTCCTGGAGCGGTGGTTGGGGAATCTTCTGGCACGTCAGTTTGAAGGGAGACATTCAAAGGGGACTGCAAAGACTGTGACGAAACAACGTGTTGAAAGCCACTTTGACCTGGAACTTCGTGCAGCTGTTATGCACGATGTTCTGGATGCAATGCCTGGTAATCCATCATCCTGTTTGCTTTCGTTGTGCGTGTGGCATACTTTATCCTCGGATTTGATTTATGTTGTTGGTTTTGCATCTTGTGCCTTTTTTTTTACAGAGGGTATCAAACAGAACAAGGCTAGAACTATTTTGCAGCATCTCAGTGAAGCTTGGCGATGCTGGAAAGCAAACATTCCCTGGAAGGTTCCTGGGTTGCCGGTTCCCATAGAAAACATGATACTCCGTTATGTGAAGGCAAAAGCTGATTGGTGGACGAACGTTGCTCATTACAATCGTGAACGTATAAGGAGAGGTGCAACTGTTGATAAAACAGTATGTCGGAAGAACCTTGGACGTTTAACTCGCCTTTGGCTCAAGGCAGAACAGGTAGCGACGTGTTCGATTTTGCATTGGTCTTTTCCAGAACCTGCTAGTTACTTTTGTGCCTATTGAATTGTTTTCGGGATTGTTCATGGTTAATTTTGCTGTTTTTTTTGGGGGGTTTAATATGTTTAATTGCTTTGTAGGAGCGTCAACATAATTATTTGAAAGATGGGCCATATGTCACCCCGGAAGAAGCTGTTGCCATCTATACAACAACTGTGCACTGGCTGGAATCTCGGAAATTCTCTCCTATACCCTTCCCACCACTCTCTTACAAGCATGACACAAAACTTCTTATCCTTGCTTTGGAAAGGTTGAAGGAATCGTACAGTGTAGCTGTGAGGCTAAACCAGTTGCAAAGGGAAGAACTTGGTCTTATTGAACAAGCATATGATAATCCACATGAGGCATTGTCACGAATTAAGCGACACCTGCTCACTCAGCGTGCCTTTAAGGAAGTAAGTTAATATTTGTGTCTGCATTCTCTTTGATTCCTGTTAAACCATTCATAGCTTAGTTCGTAATTACTCGTTTTCTGGACAGGTTGGAATAGAGTTCATGGATTTGTACAGTTCCCTGATTCCGGTCTATGAGATTGAACCACTTGAAAAGATAACTGATGCATACCTTGATCAGTATCTGTGGTACGAGGGGGACAAGCGTCATCTCTTCCCGAACTGGATAAAACCTGCAGATTCTGAGCCGCCACCGCTGCTTGTCTACAAATGGTGTCAGGGTATAAACAATTTGCAAGGGATATGGGACACAAGTGATGGACAATGTGTCGTGATGCTTCAAACTAAGTTTGAGAAGTTCTTTGAGAAAATTGACCTGACAATGTTGAATAGGTAATCCCCTGTTATTTCCCCCTCATAGATAGGTAATGCTCTCTTTTTGTTGACATTGGATTCTCCAGTAGATCTATGACCTAATATGTCGTTACTGCTTTAATGTGCAGACTTCTACGGTTGGTTCTGGACCACAATATTGCAGATTATGTCACAGCGAAGAACAATGTGGTGTTGTCTTACAAAGATATGAGCCATACAAACTCGTATGGTTTGATACGTGGTCTTCAGTTCGCTTCATTTGTTGTGCAATATTATGGTCTTGTGTTAGATCTTCTGCTGCTTGGTTTGACTCGGGCCAGTGAGATTGCTGGTCCTCCCCAGATGCCAAATGAATTCATGACTTACTGGGATACGAAAGTTGAGACACGACATCCCATTAGACTGTACTCCAGATACATTGACAAGGTCCATATAATGTTCCGTTTCACTCATGACGAGGCACGGGATCTAATTCAACGGTATCTTACTGAGCATCCTGATCCCAACAATGAAAATATGGTTGGTTACCAGAACAAGAAATGCTGGCCCAGGGATGCCAGGATGAGGCTCATGAAGCATGATGGTATATTCCTTACAAGTCCCTTGATCATGCCTCTTTGTCCAAAGCTTTGAGTGGTTATTCATTCTAATCATACAAGTGTATTTTCCATTTTTACAGTGAATCTTGGTCGTAGTGTTTTCTGGGATATGAAGAATCGCCTTCCTAGAAGCATCACAACCCTGGAATGGGAAAATAGCTTCGTCTCTGTGTACAGCAAAGACAATCCCAACTTGCTTTTCAGCATGTATGTAGATGTATCTGCTGTTTCATAAGTTTATGCTTGCTTCATCTAGATAGTTACTAAGGGTGATATGCATCTTTTTGTATAGGTGTGGGTTTGAAGTGCGCATACTTCCCAAGATAAGGATGACTCAAGAAGCTTTTAGCAACACTAGAGACGGAGTTTGGAACTTGCAGAATGAGCAGACTAAGGAGAGAACTGCTTGTGCTTTCTTGCGTGTTGATGATGAGCATATGAAGGTGTTTGAGAATCGTGTTAGGCAGATTCTCATGTCTTCAGGATCAACTACTTTCACGAAGATTGTGAACAAGTGGAACACCGCCCTGATAGGTTATTCTAATTCTAAAACTATGGTCACCTTGCTTTTGTGTGCATTTTGGTTGCACTTGCTGAATGCTTTTTACTTAAACTTTGCACCTTGTTGTAGGTTTGATGACGTATTTCAGGGAGGCAACTGTCCACACACAGGAGCTCTTGGATCTACTTGTCAAGTGTGAAAATAAAATTCAGACCCGAATAAAGATCGGTTTGAATTCTAAAATGCCTAGCAGGTATGTGCTTTGTGCACAAATTATGATATGTTGTCATGGATTGATGATTTGTCTGTGTCAGAGACTCAGTTTTCCCTCTACCTCTTCAGGTTTCCTCCTGTGATCTTTTATACTCCGAAGGAGATCGGTGGACTTGGCATGTTATCAATGGGCCATATTTTAATTCCACAAAGTGACCTTCGCTATAGTCAGCAGACAGATGTTGGTGTAACCCACTTCAGGAGTGGGATGAGTCATGAGGAGGACCAATTAATTCCAAATCTATATCGTTACATCCAGGTAACTTTATATAATTTTATGTTGTGGATGAATAGTGTTGTAGCTGTGCCTATCTTCAATAAATAATCGTGTCTGATTCTGGTTTCCCGACAGCCTTGGGAGAGTGAGTTCATTGATTCCCAACGTGTTTGGGCCGAGTATGCACTGAAGAGGCAGGAGGCGGCGGCACAAAATAGGCGATTGACTCTTGAAGATCTGGAAGTAAGTTCTGCTTTCTTCAGGCCACTCATTGTGCTTCATCCCCATTCACTATCATTTTCCCTCCCGCATAGTCTCTTATATAAACTTAGCTCCGATTTGAGTGCATCTATGCAATTGTGTCACTTGCGTTCTGGTTTTGATTTCTAATGTGGCCTTCGGGAATGTGAATGAATAAGACACATGCTGACTGTAATGGAATCTACAGGATTCATGGGACAGAGGTATTCCACGTATAAATACCCTGTTTCAGAAGGACCGTCACACATTGGCTTATGACAAAGGCTGGAGAGTTCGGACAGATTTCAAGCAATACCAAGTCCTCAAGCAGAATCCCTTCTGGTGGACACACCAGAGGCATGATGGAAAATTATGGAACTTGAACAATTACCGGACTGATGTTATTCAAGCCCTTGGTGGTGTTGAAGGAATTTTGGAGCACACATTATTCAAAGGAACCTAGTAAGTAGTTATATTATTCTTCTGCTAGTCCGGTTGACTCATGATATTGAGCGTTATTTAAGCTGTATTTGATATCTATCTGCTGCATCTTCTCTTTACTAATATTAACGTGTTCCTAAAGCGAGCCATTGTTGTAACAATTTTGTTTTGAAATTTCAGCTTCCCTACATGGGAAGGGCTCTTCTGGGAGAAGGCTTCTGGCTTTGAGGAATCTATGAAATATAAGAAGTTGACAAATGCCCAAAGATCTGGTCTCAACCAAATTCCTAACCGTAGGTTTACTCTGTGGTGGTCGCCCACCATAAATCGAGCCAACGTTTATGTGGGTTTCCAAGTGCAGTTGGATCTAACCGGAATCTTCATGCATGGGAAGATTCCTACTTTGAAGATTTCACTGATCCAGATTTTCCGTGCTCACTTGTGGCAAAAGATCCATGAGAGTGTTGTTATGGATCTTTGTCAAGTCTTGGATCAAGAGTTGGATGCTTTGGAGATTGAAACTGTACAGAAGGAGACGATCCATCCAAGGAAGAGTTACAAGATGAACAGTTCTTGTGCTGATATTCTCCTCTTTGCTGCTCACAGATGGCCCATGTCAAAACCGAGTCTGGTAGCTGAATCCAAAGATGTCTTTGATCAGAAAGCAAGTAATAAATATTGGATTGATGTGCAGCTTCGATGGGGAGACTATGACTCCCATGATATTGAGCGTTACACACGTGCTAAATTCATGGATTATACGACTGATAACATGTCCATATATCCATCTCCAACTGGTATGGAGTCTACCCTGTTTAGAAGATCCAGCTTATTTCCCTGGGTTGTTTTTCTGATTCTAATTTGTGTTTGTTGCTTTTTTAATCCACAGGTGTCATGATTGGACTGGATCTGGCTTACAATTTGCATTCTGCCTTTGGTAACTGGTTCCCTGGGTCCAAGCCACTTTTGGCTCAGGCGATGAACAAGATTATGAAGTCTAACCCGGCTTTATACGTGCTGAGAGAGAGAATAAGGAAAGGGTTGCAGTTGTACTCCTCTGAGCCAACAGAACCCTATCTGTCATCCCAGAACTATGGAGAGATCTTCAGCAATCAAATTATATGGTTTGTGGATGACACTAATGTTTACCGAGTCACCATCCACAAGACTTTTGAAGGAAATCTCACTACAAAGCCCATCAATGGTGCAATCTTTATATTCAACCCAAGGACTGGCCAACTGTTTCTGAAGGTTTACATTTTTTTCTTTATCTTCGACTGTGCCAAAAGGAAACCCTTCTTTCAGGTTCCTGACACAACTTTCTTTTGCAGGTTATCCACACTAGTGTATGGGCAGGACAGAAACGTCTTGGACAGCTTGCCAAATGGAAGACAGCCGAGGAGGTTGCAGCTCTTGTGCGGTCTCTTCCTGTTGAAGAACAACCAAAGCAGATCATCGTCACACGTAAAGGGATGCTTGACCCACTGGAGGTCCACTTGCTCGATTTCCCCAACATTGTCATAAAGGGGAGTGAACTGCAGCTCCCGTTCCAGGCATGCCTGAAGATTGAGAAGTTTGGTGATCTGATTCTGAAGGCAACAGAACCTCAAATGGTGTTGTTCAACTTATATGATGATTGGCTCAAAAGCATCTCATCTTACACTGCATTCTCCAGACTCATTTTAATCCTTCGTGCCCTTCACGTCAATAATGAGAAGGCAAAGATGTTACTGAAGCCAGACAAAACAATAGTCACTGAGCCCCACCATATATGGCCTTCTCTCAATGATGATCAATGGATGAAGGTTGAGGTTGCCTTGAGGGACCTCATTCTCTCGGATTATGCAAAGAAGAATAATGTGAATACCTCTGCTCTCACACAGTCAGAGATACGTGATATTATTCTTGGTGCTGAGATTACTCCGCCTTCTCAACAACGTCAACAGATAGCTGAGATTGAGAAACAGGTAATATTTCTGTCCATTTCTTGTAGGGGCTCTTTTGGTTCAAAATGCATGCTATTTGTCTGTCTTAAATGCTTTCATCAAATATTTGTGGACGCATTACGCCATTACCTGAACCAGAGATGATCTTAAAAAAATGCATGTCGGACCTACTTCCATATATTGCATAAACTATTTCCTAACCCTGTATGTTACATCGAATCGGCTTGACGCATTTGATATTGTATGTGCTCGTGTCCATGAAAAACGATATACTTGTTCAACTGCATGTTATTGTTATTCTCGCTCTGCACAGTACATTCAGAGGGTCCCTCAATATTGCTTTCGTGTTGTTCTGTTATTGGTGAAGATTAATTTCTGTGACTTTTCAGGCCAAGGAGGCTAGCCAACTGACAGCTGTCACAACAAAGACCACAAATGTGCACGGTGATGAACTCATTGTCACTACCACAAGTCCATATGAGCAAGCAGCCTTTGGCTCAAAGACGGACTGGCGTGTTAGAGCTATTTCAGCTACCAATCTTTATCTCAGAGTGAATCACATATACGTGAATTCAGAGGATATTAAGGTCTGTTGTATATGATTTTTGTGTTTATTACCTTATTGCGTAAGAGTCTTTTTGATTCCTAACCTGACAAAAGCTTCTGAACTCTGCAGGAAACTGGATATACTTACATCATGCCCAAAAACATTTTGAAGAAGTTCATCTGCATTGCAGATCTAAGAACTCAAATTGCTGGTTATTTGTACGGTATAAGTCCCCCAGATAACCCACAGGTGAAGGAAATCCGGTGTATCGCTATGCCGCCACAGTGGGGAACTCATCAACAAGTTCATCTTCCTTCCGCTCTTCCTGACCATGATTTCCTTGGGGATTTGGAGCCGTTGGGATGGATGCACACACAGCCAAATGAGCTCCCTCAGTTATCCCCTCAGGTATTTGTTGCTTTCTCAGTGTTCTTTAAAGCAAATAATATAAATGCAGATGATAGTGTGAAAGAATTATTACATTAGGTGCATAATTGTGGGATGATAGGTTTTGCCTTTTCTAGGGTAGATGTAACTATTAAAGGATGCGAGTGGTGGGAAATGACTAGAACAGTCTCCCGGACTTGGGAAGCTCTGTATATGCAAAATGGGTAGATTTGGAAGTGTAGAAAGAGTTAAGCCAACTGGGTTCCTGTTGAAATAATTTGAAAGATTATAAAGGTAGAAGGTGGAATTGCTAAGTATTTGATTTGAGAAGTTGGTTATTTGGTGACTACAGCCAGTAGATATTGCTGCCTGCTGATCAGTTGTCTGACTTGCATGTAAAATTGTGTTTACTCTTTGCAGGATCTGACAAATCATGCCCGGATCCTAGAGAACAACAAGCAGTGGGACGGGGAGAAGTGCATAATCTTGACATGCAGTTTCACTCCTGGGTCCTGCTCGCTAACAGCTTACAAGCTTACACCAAGTGGATACGATTGGGGAAGAGTGAACAAGGACACTGGGAGCAACCCTCACGGTTACCTACCGACGCACTACGAGAAGGTGCAGATGCTGCTGAGTGATCGGTTCCTCGGATTCTACATGGTGAGATACTAGTTTACATTCAGAAATTCTGTTGCTGTGTCACCTAGTACTTCAAAGCAATGGTGATTAACAATCTGTGATTTTTGTGTGTTAGGTTCCTGATAACGGCCCATGGAACTACAACTTCATGGGCGTCAAGCACACAACGAGCATGAAGTACGGGATAAAGCTTGGGGCGCCAAGGGAGTACTATCACGAGGAGCACAGGCCAACCCATTTCTTGGAGTTCAGCAACTTGGAGGAAGGCGATGCCGTTGAAGGAGACAGGGAGGATACCTTTACTTAGAGAAAGTGTTAGAAACCTTTTTGTAACCGAAGTTGTCAAACAACAACCGATATCCCCACATCGTGTTGAAATATTTTGGGGTTTACCCTATATCTCGCTTCCTTGCTTTATTACTCGAGGGGTAGAGGGGAAAGCTACCATCAGGTCAGACTGTAGCTAGTTTTGTGACATTGAGCTGTTGTAGAAATGAACTGTGTGTGCGAGGGATGGTATGACGAACCTGTACATATTGATCTTGCCCTTGATGAGTATGAAGTAGGCACCACTAAACCTTTGTATTGTGCCTATTTTCTTCTTTCTTCCTATGTACCTGAGATGTATTGTGGTCTATGGCACGAAGGGAGATGTCTAGCTGAACCTGACGGTATGCTATAAAGTCCTAATGGTAGGTGGCCAATTTCAAAGAAGGATCGAGCTTGGTAGAAGTTGTACCAAAGACGTTAGGCACAAGCTAATTCTTTCATAGTCGAAATAATAGTAAGTTGATATATAGGGTAAGTGGGTCGGTTTAGAAGATTGCGTGACAAAATAGATTACATGAAGAGAAAAGATCGATCATCCTTGAAAGAATCTGTCTACACATACATTTAGTAATTTACCGCCTGGCCATTGTGTTACAACTTACCAACATCAACAAAATCTATCCATGTACCAGACAACCAAAGCTGACATCGAAGGTTGTCGGAAAGCATTAACACACAGAATGAGAAGCGCAAAAAAGATCGCAACCAAGCAAACAGAAAACACACTCGAAGGTCATGATCTGTCGAAACCTCGCAAAGGAAAAAAACGAGCCTAGGTTCATCTGCGTACGACCCGACAGCTAAGTTCATTTTACAAACTAGTGACACTTCCAGATCCTCAAGCATAATAGGCACATATATTTATATCTTCTGTTGCTAAGAATCATTCGCTTCTGAAATCACATCTGAGCTGTCCTCTGCAGGTAATCTCGAGTCCTCCAAACCTGATGATTCAGCAGTCCTGAACAGCTCGTCATTCTCCAGCTCACTCAGCTTCTCCTTTGATTCCCCTTTCAGTAGCTCCACCACTTCCACCATCGTGGGTCGTTTCTCGGGCTTGTTGTGAGCACAAACCAGAGCCACAAGAACAATCCTCTTCATCTCTTCTGCATCAAACTTCCCATCCAGCCGTGGGTCTGCCACCTCATCGAACTTCTTGGAGGATGCCAACGGCAGTGCCCACTCAGTGATTGTGCGTTTAACCGTGGCGTTCACTTTCTCGAGTGGCTTCTTCCCACTGCAAAGCTCCAGCAGCAGTATCCCAAAGCTGTACACATCGCAGCTCTCCGAGGCTTTCCCCAGCATTGCGTATTCAGGAGCTAGGTAGCCTAGCGTGCCTTTCACTCTCGTCGTGACATGTGTTGCACCATCGGGGATGAACTTGGCGAATCCAAAATCTGCAACTTGGGCCAGAAAGTTTGAGTCTAGTAACACATTGCTAGCCTTCACGTCTCGGTGGATTATGTGTGGGGTTGCGTGGTGGTGGAGGTAGCTGGCAAGGAAGGGAGACAAAGTCAGACGCGGGAACTATGGTTCAAACAAATAAAGACCAGGAATTTTTCAAGGATTCAGAAGAACTCACGCAATTCCTTCAGCCGAGCCTATTGCAATGTTCATCCGTCTCTTCCAGTCTAAGAGACATTCTGAGGAGTGCTGTCCATGGAGATGAGAGAGCAAGCTTAGATTAGGCATGTAGTCATACACAATAAGACGTTCTTGCCCTTCGGCACAATACCCCCTAAGGCTGAGCAGATTTTTGTGGCGCACACGGGCTAGTATTTCCACTTCGACAGCGAATTCCATCTCGGCTTTGTTGCTCCACACCTTCAGCCTCTTGACTGCAATCTGTATAATCACCATGTTTAGATTTCCAGATATGTTAAGCTCATGCATACAACTGAGTTCAGAAAATCACAGATTCATATGACGATTTACCAAAATTGAAACTGCTGAATGCATTCTTTACAGATGACTAAGTTAGTTGTTTTATTGAAGGCACATGTAGCAATTGGGGTTCCAAACAATGAATCAACTGTAATTCAAGAACCGGCTTCAAAGTAAATTAAACACTGCATCGCCATCTCATCTAAAGAAATTACGTTACCGTGGGCTTAATCTATGTAAAACCAGTTTCTAACCTACATAGACATGACAGGTACTCAGTATTGCTCTTCTTTTACATCTGGAATTGCTTAGAAGGATGCTGAAGCAATTCAACCAGAAAACAAAACTCACAAACATCCCTTCAGAAAACTGAATTGCTGGAAAGAGTATTTATGACAAACAAGTTCTTAGAGAGAACCGTAATTTCATTTTTCTTTTTGGCATCTATATAAGGACTTTAATTTTGTCTGAAGTGGCAACAAGTAAATACTTTGGCTGCGGATCGTAGAATTCATGTCTTGCGCAAGACAAAACAATAGGGCTCCTTAAATTTTATTTCACTTGAAAGTAAAGGGGGCAGGGGTTTCATTCCATTCATAGTGTTAATTTAACATTTATATGATAAACATGTGATTAAAATGTTGGTGTATGAGGAACAAGGATCTAGTGCTCCCGTGGGCAGAGTTGAATTTTTTAGCAACTTGAATGAGGCAAAGGGTCGAAGATTTTACATTTAGGAGCCCTTTTTTTGTACAATTAGAACCACAAGACATCCATCACTTCTACGGAGTTTTGATCAATTCCCAGCATTCAAGCAGGGAATAGATGATTTACCTAAAGCTTGGTAACCATCCTATACCCAAGTCTCAGGTATTACTACCAATCTACCATTAGGCTTCACGGAGCTCAGACAGTAAAACAAAAGCAGTTGCACATTAAAACAGCTTTGCAGTTGCAGCAAATGGTCAAGACATGATGCAGAAATGCACTATAGTGGCACATAGTTGGACATGTTCCCCTGTGAAACATTCCCCTCACAAATAACAATTGGCATATTCATTCCGATGTTTCAGAAGCACTTAATGTAACAACCATAATATAGTTGAACAAGTGAAATGAGAAGTGTTTAATGTATGGTTCAGCAACAAGAAAGAAGTTCCTCTACTGTATAGACGTAGATGAAGTGGACCTCTACAAGCCCCTCAATGAGATCTTATGCGAGTAACAGGTGCTTGGTTAGGAAAAAAACGAGAAGCACTCTACTGCAGCTCATGCTAGAGGCCTATAGGCACTCTCTAAAAGCCGTCCCAACAACAAGTAAGCAGAATTGATAAGATAGAGAGAGAAGGAGAAGCTAAAACTATTCACCTGTGATCCATCCCAAAGCTGACCCCAGTAGACACTTCCAAATCCACCCTCACCCAACTTATTATCATAATTGAAGTTGTTAGTAGCAGCATGTAACTCCTTCAATGAGAAAATCCGCCAACTTGGCTGCTTCTTGCCTTGCCCTTTCCTGAACAATAGCAAAAGCAATGTCTCAGTAGTATGTACACTACAGGGAAAGCGAGCACAAACATTTGAGAATTAGGAAGCATCTCCAACCATAACTACAGTAGTATGTGTTAACAATTCATGGCAGATTTCAATACCCAGAAAGCAAAAAGAAATTTTTTGAAAAAAAAGTCATCAGTTCTTCACTGCCCACGAAGAAACATCAACCAATTTACAGGACCCAACACTCCACCACATCAAAAATCAAATCCAATTTCAGAACCCATATGATTGATACGACGAAAGCCAACAAAAACCTCAACCCATCCCAGAATGAAGAAAATCAGAATAACAAAGAGGTTCTCGCTCACAGCAGCAATTCATCAATCAAACGGGGAGAAGATGCAAAGCACAACCAAGGACAGACTGTAAGGAGCAATAAACGTACCGATCTAATCCTTTTCCACAGCAAATCATAGAACCAAATCCCATAATTTTACTCCTGAACCGGCCAAGACGCCAACTTTTCCGACGCCTTCTTCTTTCCCACCTTGCTCCTTGCTCTACGCGTGTTGTGGGCTCGCTGTAATAAGTCGTCGGTGGGCGAGAGAGTGAGCAAAAAGGAAAGAGTATGTAATAACAACTGAAGCAGCAGCCGGAGTTAATTTGCGATGCCAAGTAACGCTGCTGCTGTTGCGGTTAGAGCAGACAATTTGTATCTGCGGTTCGCTTGTCCCTTGCCCCCCTCGAATGTTTTTTCTTTTGAACTTCTGTTTTACATTATTTTTTATTGGGTTGGTGGGGAATGAATGTGCTTTCCCTTTTCCTTGCTTTTCAGTTTTCACGGAGGAACAGACAGAACAGAACAGAACAGATATGGAGATGGAAAGAGTGGGAGGCAAGGCAAGGAAGTCTTTCCCTCTTTCTCTTCGTTTGCCAATTTTCAACTGTTTTCCAATTAAATTCCTTTCTTCTTTAAAATAATACTGTTCTAAGTTCTAACTCATTTCATTAATTTTAAGTGTCGTAAATCAGTCGATATGTCAGTTGATAAATAAGCGAGTTAGATGATATATTGTCTAATCATTCTCCTAAATAAGATAATTACGCATTAACACAACTCGATCGATGAATCCACCGTTCTCTTTTTCCCCCATTTTGTTACTTGGTGGTTTGTTTCCATTTATGAATTATTCAAGAAGGGTTGGGAGTATTTTATTTTTGGTTGGTATAAATTTGAAATTGAGGGTGATAGGGCAATAGCTGTTCACATTTCAATTTTGAATGGGAAGACCCTGCAGCTATGTTATGTGGACCCAGACTGATGGATAGAAGGTCAAGCCCAACTGCGTACTTAGCTGGGGCCAGCCCGCCCTAAACAATACACATTTTCTTCCTTTTTATATTAGTAGCGGGTTTCCATTTGGAAAGAAAGATCCTTCAAGTTAGAGTACCATCTTTAAGCAAACGGCAGGGAATTCCCCTTTTGATACATTGCTTAAACATGGTTGATTTGTTGATGCCAAGTTTAGAGGAGTTTGTTTCAATGTGTTTGAGGTCTGGTGAGCGCCGAATTTTTTGGCCAACGTCCGACACCAACCTTCGAGATGGACACCTGCAAAAGAGGAACACGTCAGCGATGATTGATGGGGACCTGCTGCGAAACTCAAGTCAGTATTGAGAGTAGAGAAGCTGGGAGCGGCATAATGAGCCGACTTTAGAGAGGGATTTAGAATTCAATCAGAAAATGAACTGTCAAGAAAGCATAAATGAGCGTACTATTTATAAGCGTCTCCTGCTTCTGACGTAGATGGCGTGCTCGTAATAAAATAACAATACGACACTTACCTCGCCACCAACCCTAGGTGCAATGGATGGTTGGCTTATAGTAAACACATATAAAAGATAAAACTAGAAAGAAAATAAAACCATTTACCTCCATGATTCAATACCACGTGTGATGTAATTTATGTAAAGGTAGATGGGTTTGTTTCAATGTAAGAGCTTTATCAACCAAACAAATACAATTGTCTCTACCCTCTTGTCTACGTGGCAATGCTATGGAATGGAAATGGTAGGCTGTTTGTGTTTGTTAAGCAAATGTAATATACCAAACAATTCTTCCCTTATGCCACGTAAGGACCAAATGAGATGGGTTGCTTGAGACCACTTTACTAATCACCCACCTCATGCACTATGTGTAATTAATATTGCATGGGATGATGGGTATGTAATTGGATTGGTTTGACGAGGGATTCTAGCTGGCCTCATGTAACAATCTTCATCCACGTGGGAGGAGGATGTGGAAAGTGAAATTTTGGTTTAATGGGGGTATTTTGGAGGGGAGAGCACCCAACCCCAACAATGTAACTAGTAGATACCAACCTCATTAACTTACCACATATAGATGATTTTATCATTTTTCTCCTTATGATCACGTAAAAATGGTTTGTGACTGTAGTATGATGTCGGTTGAATACTGGGCTCATCAGGATGATGCTATTAGTCTACACACATAATCTATAAAATACATAAAACCAAAACATGTGTTGGAATTCTTCCATTTCAAATTTCGTGGCCTGAGAGTGATTCTAGGAAGATCATTTTTGTCATTAGAGTTCGAACCTTGGTCACTTGAATAAAGAAAGAGCATTATAACCAGCTAGACTACATTTTATTTATTGTTATTTCTTTGATTGAACTCTAGGAATATGTTTGGTGATGATGCTTCTATATTTATATTTTATCTTAAGTTATTTGTATTTTATAGAAAGATATTAGTTCTGAAACCGAAACTCAAGTAGTATTGATTGAAACATTATTATTAAATTGTATGTGTTGTTTAGTTCAGAAAAAATACATAAGTGTAATAAAAACATGGACATTTCTGACGAGTATAATCATTTTTTTGTGTGAAAAATCTACACAGAATATAATGATAAAATTCGAAAATGAGAGTCTCATTTCAAATTTCGTGGTCTGAGAGTAATTCTAAGAAGCTCTGTTTCGTCATAGTGCACAATATATCTTTATGTTATGTGTAGATTTGTGACAAAAATTATTATATTTGTCAAAAAGATTCATGTTTTGGCTACACATATGTATTTTGTCTAAACTGAACCACACATATAATTTATTATTTAATATTTGAATCAATGTTACCTGAGTTCTTATTTCAAAATTATCACTTTCTATAAGACATATTCAATGTTTTAAGATTTTCTATTTCAAATTTCGTGAAGTGGGAGTGAAAGTAGGAAGAGTATTTTATCATCGCAATTATTATCTACTTCATATGAAAAAGTATCAATATCAAGATTTTAACCATGGTCTCTTCAAACAAAAACAATGATCACAACCAATTACACTAAACAAATTTGTTATATCTTAATAAATTGTAAACATGCACTAAGCGAAGATTTGAAAAGCAGAGGACTTTTCACGGTTAGCTAGCCTATTAAATCTTCTGAAAAACAAAATTTAATACGTGATTTATACTGTAGTTTATTCAAATGTAGTATTTCATCAGGTAGTCAAAATCGAATACTGGGAGCATTTATGACTGTTTTTATCTTGGTGTTGTGAATAGGTAGAAACTTAATTATTACAATGCATATAACTATACCTAGGCACATGGTCGAACTAGCACGACACATGGTCGAATATCGGGCCATGTGCCAGTATTCATGGCTCCAAATTGCAGCATTTTGAATTTCCAGGCCATAGAGCACTTCACAGAGGGGCATTTAGGCCATTGTACTTGATTTAAATGAGGTTGTGCGTATTGAAGCCCTCATCCCCAACATCTGTCCCGCCCACAATTTGTTCCAGCCCGACTCTGCTGTTAGGCAATAGGGTCGTGCTATGGCTCAACACATAAATCCGAGCCCACTGTTGTTTCCAACCCAACACCATTAGCTCCTCCGGTGTAGTGTGATCAGTCCGACGTAGTGTGGTCAGTCTTTGCTTCGGAATTTGCTTCGTTCTTCCAATGCTCTTTGGCGTATACTGCTCGACTAAAATCAGCCACCAAGCTCCAGATACATTCAGGTAAGGGGGAAGCTTTTGGATGGCGCCCCATTGATTTCGACCTATTCATTGGAGTTGATTTTTTTTTGTTTACACCCTTGGTTGTGCATTGTTCCCTTTCTAGCTTCAATTCCCAACCAACGTAGAAGAGTTGAAAGACGCAAGTGCCGCAACGACGGGGCATTACCTCTCCTGGCCCTCTTTTAGTTAGTGAAACTTTGATCATATTGCTCGATAAATGTTCACGTCCAATTGGTTGGTCCCGGAAAAGTTAATTGGATGTTCATCTTCCATCTGCCAATTGATACATCAAGAGCGGAGGATATACTCCCTATCCAATATTGAAGTTCATGATTTTGTAATACACAAGAGAGTCGCTATTTCCACACTACAAATTACGTTCAACCCAAATCCAAGGGTCGAGCCCTTGAGATATGCAACCGACATTTCAATAACCAGATTCAGATTCTTCAAACCTTCTGACTTCCAAATAGCCTATGAAAATTATCAATATTTATAAGGTTCAATCACTTCACCATAATCTCTAATCATCATTCATGAGATCATACAATTTAGTAACTATGTTTTTTGGTAGATTTCCTTTGGAATAACGTGCTGTTTGTGAATTAAATGTTCACAATGAATTACTGTGTGTTTTAGTTTTCTCTGTTGACTCTTTAGAATTGCTCTTATGTTAGCTTATGATTCATCATCAACGGTAGCCCTTTGTGGGGCAATAAATTCAATTTTTGGGATTAACCTATCTATAAAATAATGTGTGTATGCAATGCATTCTTATTTTTTAATTTATTAATTATAAATACATGTGTTACATTTTAAATTCCCTGATAAATCGAATTTTGAATCTGATGGGGACAGTTTTTAGCACAGAGTATGGTTGGATTTTAAATTTGTGGTCCGTATTTACCTTTGGGACAGAGATACCCACATATGGACTTAAAGCATCATAATTCATAATCATACTGAACACATTGTGTTCCGTCATTCTTATAATAGATTTGATGGGCAAAGTTCACCATACGGAACCAACATTTCCACTATCAGCAGTGTCAGCGCATGAAAAGTCGAAAAATGTGTATGTCAAACTATTAGAGTGAGTTATTTCACTTTATTCTCATTTGATTTTGGCTTGCATTCCTTATGTGTTTAGTCCAACTCAATCTTTGACCTCATATGTATTACGGGACCTGTGATAAGATTGGTATTGAAAGACTCCTTGATTACTGAACTTGAAGTTGTAATACCCGATTAACCTCAAGCAACGGTGGTATGTATACTTACTTTAGTGTATGTAGAACAAACAAGAGGTATGTCATTTCTAACGATTCATTCACTTTTGCACAATTACGATTCCATTTCATACTTCCAAGATCATATTACAATCACTAAGTTGTTTTATTATTATTAGGGAAGTATTACTTTGCCACATCCCAACATTCAAATTAATTTTTAATTTGAATGCTCCTTTGTTCCACCATTTATTCAACCCATAAGTCATTGTTCTTATGCCAAAGAATATATATCCATGCTCATGAATACAACTACATTATAACATCACTATATGCAACTGTGTATTATAGACTAAGGAAAATGAAAACCATTATTAAATAAGACTCCTATATATGAAGTTGCTCAACAACGTGTAAACAATTGTTCAATTGACGACTTAACTTCATTTTGATTATCTCCTTCATCCATGGTAAGAGATTTGTAATTCTACATTTTTTGTATCGACCTACTTTCAATATAATTATATATTTATACTTCATCATTATTTGATTTTATTTCATTTTGACTACTAAATATTTGCTCTAGGGAAATTACGAAATTGTTGCTGGTCATATATGTGATGTGAGAGTCACTTGGGAATGCCCTCATACTCAATACATTGTCAACCTCACTATCAGTGACAACTTTGTGACATGTCCGATATATTTTCAATCATACAACTTTAGATCCGTTGTCGCGTTGTGATCAAGAAGAATGATTTCTACTGGGATAAACACTATATAGAGATATTGAACTCTAGCAGAGAGCAATCATTTTCTTTCATTCTTAAAGTTAAGTATGTATGTATTATGAAAAACAAATCTAATATTCAACGGTATGTTCTACTTAACTATTGAAAGACAATTACTTATATTCATTTCTTTATTTTCACTTAAAAATAAAAGTTAATTCTTACTTCTTACGGCATATTTCTCATCTTTTTATTATACTCATATAGATTATATATAATTCAACCATTTGCATATCTAATTACAAAAACACACATCACAATGAATTTTTTAGCATCTATCATATCTATTATTATAATCTACATTCACAAGCTAAATTCTCCCGACCAATGGGCCGGACCCTGTGCTAGTATGTAAAATGAAAAAATGTATCTTCGTTCCAATTTGCTCAAATAATACTGAATTTGAACCAATCTCATTTCAAATAAAGACAAGCATCATAACCAATCACACTACATAGATTTGTTGTATCTCTTTAAATAAAAAGCATACATGAAGCTAAAATCAGAAAATTTCAAGACTTTCCAACAGTTAGCTAGCACACTAAATCCTCACTTAGTATACTTCGACTTTTATATTTTGATTATTTTAATTCTACTTTAATATTTAATCTAAATTTCTATCTATCTTTATAAATAGTGTGACCTCCATTTCAAATTTACTGCCTCCACACCAATTCTCGGAAGGGTATTTAGGGAAGCTGTTTTCTGATGGTTTGCAGAACGCGGAAGTAAAATCATCAAGAAGAGTTAACGAGTCCAAATTACTATCTTGACCTACTACCAGAACACCATCGCCGCATCGCTAAAGCTCCGCATCAGAATCTTGCGACCTTCAATCTCCACAGCCACAAACCTACTCCCCTTCAGTTGACGAAATCACGACACATAGCATTGAAAGCTGTGATGTTCCTTCTTCAATCGTAGTCCCACAAGGTACTCTTACGTTGACAGTCATGAAACAACTGCATCGGACGTGGTAGCCATAGTTCCCTATCCCAGATTGTTGAAATTGAAGGGGTTAGAGGAATATTGTCCGCCCACAAAGAGGATTTTTTTTAATGCATAAGTAAATCATTAATGTCTGCTTGGTTTTTCTTACACTACAAGTGTTGATTTGTGGTATGTCGGTTTCGTTCATCATCGGTTTCAATTAATCAAAATTCATAGGGAGATGAGAAGCTGCATCCCATTAACAAATTAGGCGTTAGAGGGGTTTTGATTGGAAGAACTACCTTTGGAATTCCTTCGGACTAGTTCAAGACTCATTGTCCCCTTTGAATCCCCACAAGTTTCACGTCTACAGTGGATGCATTGATTGTTGAAATTGGGTAAGACTACTGGGTTTTCAAAATGTTGTTTTCAGCCAAACCTCTATTTTATCTGATTATAATAAACAAATTCTTCAGTTACATACTTACTATGCCAATGGTGGTCAAAATGTTGTTTATTAACCTTAAGTGGATGTTTAGCGTGTTGTGTCTACTTGGTTGTTCAATGACCATCAGGTTGTCTTTATTCTTGTGCCTAAGAATTTAGATTGCACGCCTATTGTGAAAAAATTAATAATGTGAAAATTTGGAGCTCAAAATGAAGCAATCCACTTACTATGCCATCTTATTCTCATACTCTTTTCTCTCTTTGTGAGCTGTCGATGATGATGGACTTCCATATTCATGTTGTTTCAAGTTAACCTTTCTTGAAACTGGTACAATTGTAATTCCCAATTTATTAATAGACTGATCCTCCCATAGGGTAAAAAAAAAAAAAGAACCACCTATAAATAAGTTTTCATAATGATTGGAACAACACATGTAAGCTAACGGTTTTTCGTACAATCTAATTGAGTACTATGATTAACTCGAGAAAAGGAGTTTGATGTCCAAATAACACATCTATGTGAGTTTGATGATCAAATTGATATTCACCATGCCAAAAGCGGAAAGGGAAAGATAGTAAGCTGTTGTGTACTCCTGTTAAGTGTTAACTGTTACGTTAAGGTAAAGCTTCGTTGTTCCCATTTCCACCAGAGAAAAGAAAGAGATGGCGGCCCGCTGCTTCTGGACCAGCGGCAGCTGTTCCGGCAGCGGCGCAAGCCCACTCCGCCGTTCGCCAGCGATTCCGGAATTTCATACCCAAATTCTATTCTCGTCCTCACATCATCATCTTCCTATTTTAGCGATTAATTCTTCTTCTTCTTCTTCTTCTTCTTCTTCTTCTCGTTTCACTGGAGGCTGCAGAAACCTCAACCCATACACACACCTTCGCTCCCGCCTGTTCGCTCAGCTTCCGCCGCAATCCGACCCGCCTCCCGATAACGAATCGCTCACACTCGGAGGTGAGAATCCAAATCAATCCCTCCACGCTTTTGCATATTTCTGTTTCCATGGTCCTCTTCTTCTCCTCCATATTCTATGGCGACTGCCAATTTCGGTTGGTACTAAAGTCCACCCATTTATGCTCCGAGCTTGTAAATTGGTATGTTAACACAACATGTCTGCAGAAAAATGGTGTATCGATTTGGTGAGTGGCTGCTGCTTCTTGTGGTGCAGGTTTAGTGGATGGTATATCTAGATTCCAGGAAAGGGCTCAGATATTCTTTGCGGTATTTGTATGGATGTCTCTCTTCTTCTGGTATTCAGCTTGGGATGGCAGGAATAAAGGCGGCGGCGGCGGTATGTCCAACAAAAGATCCCGATCTCCATTCAAAAGATGAAACCCAGAACCAGCTTATCAAAGCATTCGACTGTATTTTGCGGCTTGTGTATATATATGTGTGTACTAGTTGTAAAAGGAAAAATGTGAAATCACTGTAGCCAGACATTTGCTGCTTTAAGGATTGTAAATTAATACTAGAGATATCAGAACACATTGCACCAGCGAAATCGATGGATGTTTGGTCTGAATCGAAGAATAATCAGAGCAGCAAATGAACTAGTAGTCATACTTTTGTTTCTCAACAGACTTTCGAAGCCTTTCGCTCGCTTTCAGATGAATGATGATGGGATTGGTTGGACCTACTTGCGCACGCCGAGCTTGGGGCAGCCGTCTGCAAGGGGTAAGTCTAGATTGTCGACGGTCCTGAATGTTCTGGGCATCATCTTGTCCACATAGAGAGTTCCATCCAGATGATCGCACTCGTGTTGTAAGATACGAGCCTGCCACCCGGATGCTTCAACCTTGATGGGTGCACCATCACGGCTCAACCCAGCAACCTCGACTTCCAGATTACGCTCCACCACTGCTCTGAATCCATCAACACTACAACAAGGAAACCCATGAATGAGATCAATGACAGCTGAAAAGGCCCAGCTTTTCTAAAAGTTTATCTAATGATGCAATAGAAGGAACCTTACACAGCACTATTTCACAGATCATGGGCAGTCTTTGAAATATTACCTTAAACAACCTTCGAAAAACAGTGCAGTCTTGTTGGTCTTCTTTTTGAGCTTAGGGTTCAGGATCACCTGCCTCAAAACAACTAAGCCATTGTGAACTGTGGGGAAAAAAAATCATATGACATGAATTTAACTGTTTAGCACATACAACAGAACCTTTTGAACTTGCACCACATACCAGAAGGTCAAAAGGTCGCCTATCCTGTGCTTTAATCTCTTCTTCTGGTGCATAGCTAATGTATTCTTGTGTATCTTCCAATACTATTATCTGCAGCCAAGGAAATGCTGATGCTTTTTTCAGAAAATGCAGAGAGATAATTATATCCTTCACAAACAATAGTAATAAGAACATCGAATTGAGAACATCAACAGAGGAAATGATAGCTGCAGAACAGGATATCAGACTCTGGGCTTAAGTAGTTTGTTTCTAATTATCGCCACTTATCATTTCAATTGCATACAACAATAAACACAAACCAGAAAGGGTAAATTAAAGAAAGAGGACCAAATGGGTGAAGTTCAAACTGTAGCCAAATTGTATAACAATGGGTGGTCTATTCAGAGATCTTTCATGTAATTCGAGCAATCACAACTGAGGAAAATCTAGCCGTATTTGGAACCATCATCCTTGGCAATTTTTGTCGCTGACGAACTTCTTGGAACTATATAAGGTACAAACCAATCCAAAAAAAACACCAGTAGTGACCCAGATAAAGGAAACCAAAGGTTTCAGAAGGGATCTTTCCCCTCCTATCTAAGTGCTACTAAAGAGGTTGGAAAACTACAACTAAAAACCAATGCTACCGAAGGTTATAGCAGTTTAGCTTAATTCAATCCATTAGAAGTGTGAAATCCACGAAACCAGCCATCGTGGTAATCAATTGAGCAAGAATTTTGAGTAAGTAACGACCAACAACTATTTAGTAAGTAGAGTACTTGCAACAGATAAATGCAGGCACATTCCAATCTGACAGAGACTCCCAATGTTTGAACCCTCAAGGAATCACAAGTTCCCACATTGTGGCCATAGCTAAAATCAACATACAAGAACTAATCAGCAGATCGAAGTAAAAGAGCTGACTGAATTTTCATCCTGATAATCACAGCAACAAGTGGGAATGCAGTTCAACCTAGGAATATATCTACAACTAGGAGCTTCACTAAAATTTCGATAAATATACAGTTCACCCAGAAACGCTGTCATGGATGGATAAAGCTCAAAAGAAGAAACCTGACCCTCAGCGGGATTCCAATCTGCGGAGCAGCCAGCCCAACTCCTGGAGCTACCCTCATAACCTTAACCATGTCATCAATGATCTTCTGTATCCTTTCCGAACCGATTTCCCCTGGCTCAACTTCACGAGCTGGTTCGTGTAACACTGGGTCACCAGCTTTTACTATCTCTGGCAAGACCGGTTTCTTCTTCTGGCCAAGACCCAGAATCCAACCCGCTCTGGCTGCGGCAGAAGAAGACAGAGATTTGTGAGCTCTGGAGTCTAGGTAGGAGGAGTTCCCGAACTTAGAAATGGAGATGAGAGGAGCCGGTGGTATCAAGCATTTTCCGGCTCGTGATGTTGCCAGGAGACCGAGGTTCAATCTGAAGAGCGCTTTCATGGCTGCCGCGCGTTCTGCTTTGTGGAAGGAAGGGGAAATATGTCGGAGCACAGGGATAAACCCCAACCCAATCGGTTTCTGACCTTTTCCCTTCCTCTGGTTTTCAGAGCTTTTCAGTTGTTCACAAATTGAGCCGGACGGTAACTTGGTTGGGGGACGAAGATCAAAACCCGAAATGGGCAAAACGGCAACGGGTGAAGCTTTGGGCTTTTCAAGGGCAATACTTGGGCCTTTCAGATTTGCCAAACGGCCCATGAGTACCTCAGCATAAATTTCAGTTACAAGATGGGAATATCACCTGAACATTGCCAATTTGCCATACACGCTTTCCTTCTCTGCATCACCCCAGTTCCCAACAGCAGCAATATGGCTTAATATACAGTAGCCACAAATTCCACCAACGAAAAGCTATTTTAGAAGAACAAGTTAAGAAGCAAGCATAAATCAAGGTTTAAGGTCCCGAATTCGCCCAAACAACACCTTGTTCCCAACTAGCAGGAAGCCAAATAGAATTTAAGTGTTTCAGTATACAGCATGAGCACGCAAGTACTTGCAAGTATCCGGGTGAACTATGAGGTTTCTTTATAATGATGCCTTGTAGAGATTTTTGCCACCGACTACTCCAATAACAATGGAAAGCAGAGACACCAGAGCTCCCTGTCTCGAAAGCCAAAACTCGGTCCACGACAATGGCCTCGTGACTTGAACTAAAACAATCCTGAAATTTTCTTCTAAATCCTCTAATGACCCAGTGTTGTCGATCACAATGTCGGCCCTCGACCGTTTCTGATCAAGGGACATTTGAGCATTAATCCTATTTCGAGCATCCTCCTCATTACTGCCATCTCTCGCCATAAGCCGCTGTAACTGTGTCTCTGGATCCACCCATACAACAACAGTCGGCTTTGTCCACCTATCCATCTTGGCCTCAAATAATAGAGGAACATCGAGAACAATGACCTTGTTACCTTTTAGCCATAGCTTCAGAACTTCATAAAAGATCCCAGAGGATATGTAGGGAGCCATTAACCTGCAAGGAAGGCAAAATAAAAACTATTCATGAAAACCAGTCAAGATATATAGCAAGGCTTCATGAAAACTACATCAATATTAAGCAAGGCTTCAGAAAGAAGTGGCAGAAAATCTACACAATGGTTAGCTTATCAAGACCAAGTAATTTTCAGAAGATAGACCGGAACTTGGTCAGGTGATTCATTATTGACCTGTTAAGAAGCTGGCGCTTTCCAGGGTCAGAGAAAACAATCTGGCCAAGCTTAGCCCTATCAACTTCTCCATTGGGTAGCAAAATATCTTCCCCAAATGCATCAACAACTCTTCTATAGCCTCCTGTTCCCTTCTTCAGAACATCCTGTACATAGATATATGAAGTGCTCAGAATCCACATCACCAGCGAGAAGATCATATTTTTCTTATATACAAAGTACCTAAAGATAGGGTCACAAGTGCAGAACAACTTGCTAGTTGAATACGCGCAAGTCACCTCTAAGTAAGAACACTGATCAATGGCAAGAACTTACAACCAAGAATCACATAGTGTCAAAAAGAAATTTAGGAACCAAGCAAACCATCATTCTGCGAATGAAAGCTATTCGGATACAACGTCTAGCCGTAAAAGACATATATTCCGGTAATCAGAAGAAACCATCTCTCGACTAGTCGATTATATTCATTATGTTACCAGAGGTCAGAGGTCGAAATTCACAGGAAATCGAAGTGCTAACTGATTCTCCTCGTTCAATTTCAGCCAAGCTAGTGCAAGAATGATTGCACAGGAAAGAACAATCTACAAAAAATACGATGGACTAATAGCAGAGACCAAATGTAACCCCTAATTCTTTTCACAATAGTGCATACTGCAGTATTTGACTGGTTGTCCCATTTTTGCCCGAGATTTCGGTAGTCAGAAAGGAAGAATAAGAAAAGAGTGGAAGCAAGCTGTATAATGGTAGGTAGAGATAGAGAGGAAAGAAAGACAGTTGAATGAAAGTGAAGAGACCGAAGATCGCTTCCGGGCTGAGAGCAGTACGATTGATGATGATGACAAAGTGGACGGATGCAAAGAGGAGGAGAAAGGTTGGAGTACTGACCCGAGCAACGACGTCGGCGTCGACGACCGGAATACCATGGGACTTGAAAAGATTGGAGACGGTGCTCTTCCCGGACGAGATTCCTCCCGTCAATCCTACTATTCTCATTGTTCCACTCCACCAGCTCCCTGGTGTTGGATCGATTTGGCCGCTGGCCGGAGGCCTTGACTGGTTTCATATGGGTTATTACTTATTAGATTATCATTAATGACAAAAATGGTCACTGAAATATGAGGTCACTGAGAAATCAGTCACTTAACTTCCGTTTTTAACAGATTTATCATTGTTCATTGTTAAAGTCTACACAAGTAGACAACAATCACTCCATGTCTACATCTATGTACTATGTTTGTCAAATTTGCCGTTCGACGAATTGGAATAAGAAAAATCAATAGGCCTACTTAATTCGAGCATTCGCCTTATCATCCAATATTAAACACATAACATGGCACATTGACAAAAAGACTTGAAAACGCTCGTTAGTGAACACGAAATCAATTTGAAACCCAGCTTGCCTGCTCAATAACCACCATTATCTGGGACTCAGTAAAGGATTAGCAGAAACGAGAAAAGGAAACAATAGGACCAGAAGAGCTGGATGGATTATAAGTTTATAACAAAAATGTACACACTACATTTGTTTTCTCCTACCCACCCATTTACTGCTTATTAAAGAGATTAGCCAAATCAATAAGGACCCTACCGAAAAAGCAAACTATACATGAAACACTAATATGACACTATCTCCATAGCACCCTCTCTACTATCTTTACCAGTTCCATCCATTTTGCCCTTGGCAAACACAAAATACCGGGCCAAAAAAAAGAGAAGAAAAAAGAGCAGAAAATTTGTTACTAGTAATAAAAATAGAGCCTACTACTGCTGACCCTCACCCTCCACCCCCCTCACACTGTCTACTATATGCCGGATCTTGTTCGATAGAGACTCATTGTGCTCTTCGATCTGTTCGAAAATCAGTTCCAGATGTCTTTTGTAGGTCGCGGCTCTTTTCTTCTCTGTGGCCAACTGTTGAGACAGTTCCCTGATTTTATCATGTTCATTCTGCAACACAAGAAAAGGCAGTCACGGTCCGCAGATATCAACAATGCAGCTTGCTGATACTTAACTGACCAACTCTAGTTCTAGTGCGTCACATAAATTATACAAAAGACCTGATAGTAAGGTGACAAACCCTTCTTAATCTGATACTCAAGGCCCTAATTTGGGATGGCCTACTCTGAAACCGCCCTCGTGGCATCAGAATCGACCTCTTCTCCACAGAATAGTTCATATCAGATCAGATATACAGGTATTCAGTTATGAAGACGTATAGTAGTTTCTTCGTAAAGACATTATCAAGGACCTGATTGCTAGAGATGGATCTGTAACTTTATTCATGGATCTTCTTACTGCTAAAAGTCTCATATGGACTCGAGGGCTGTTATAAAAAGTTCAAGCTTTTATCGGCTGCATTCCCCGTATGCTCTTCCTTCAAGTGTGAGTACTTTTCGTGCTAATGTTAAAATCACTTAGTGATTCTCAAAGCCATGTTATTTTCTAGGTTAGGGATTCATCGTATGTTGGATATTGTACTTTCTACAATGAATAGACCAAGACTTGGTTCATCTTTTAATGTACTAGACATGACTAATAAAAGATGCTATCTTCAAACTCTGGTAGAACTGAATAAAATCTTTGATTCTACTCCAAATCTGCTAAGTTCAACAATTACCCTCGTCATATCAAAGATCCAGCAACTTACATATTGCTTGAAATCAAACCATAATTGATGAGTCAACTCACACATCGTTAGAGTTCACAGGCTTTGTTGAGACTGCCACTACCATGAGTTCAACTCCCAAAGAAAAGACTGTAACAGATAGAATAGAAAAACAGTAGTTGTAAGATATCAGGGCAGCAAGAACTAACCGGATACTGATCGTAAATGCAATCTCTTCGGCTCCTTCCAGGAGTCAATGGATGAGTATGCTCCTTCACAAATTTTGTGACCATCCACTTTCCAGAACTTACTCTCCTCACCAAAATCATCGCCCTGCAACCAACCCTAGTCTCCACTCTCTGTCTAACAATCTTTTCTCGCTTGTCTGGCATTCTAAAACCCTCTTTATTACAAACAAGCGCCCGACCAATGGCAGAACCATCCCGCCTAGAGCGAGACAGCTTGCTCACTCGGATTATGAATCCCACTCTTGTTGCATAAGAATTATAAAATGCATGCGCAGCTGCTTCAGAGTCAAATTCCTGTCCCACATATGGCTCATCCGAAGTATCTGCATCTGAAACTGCAAATCCATCTTGGAGCTCGTCTATTTCAGGGGACTCTGGATCCAATTTCTTGCACAGGTCCTGCTGAAATCCCCCATTTATAATGTTGTTAACATCAATTTCACTTTGATCACCTACGTGGCCATCATCATCCAGTTCAATATTTCCTTCTATATCTCCATTGACATCATCATCATCAACCCCAAACTCCACTGCAACAAGCAGTTGTTATAAGGATGAGCTGTAGCTATTTAATAGGGGACTAATGACACTAGTGTAGATTTAAGTGGGATCCCAAATAATAGCCAAGAAAGCAATTTCATGGAGCAAGGAGCAGAACAATTATCATCACATCAGGGAAATGAAACAGAGGGGTGAAACCAAATCCAAAACTTTCAAATGAACGAGTAATAATTGTAGGTGTCCAACACGCAATCTAATTTATAGAAAATTACTGCCAATCAAAAAGCATCTGAGAAAAAAGAATAAAAAGCTGCCTAACATAATATGGTCAAGTGGCAGCAGCCGACCTTAAGTCAGCCGACCTGGACTGAGGAGTACAATTTATCAGAAAACTTGTGAAAATCCCCTTCATTCAATTAAGCCCGTAAAGTAAAATAATAACTCTCAAAATGTAGACTCTCTAGTCTCTACAAAAAGAGAACAAAAACACAAGAATGAGAAAAATTAGTGCCTTTTCCCCTGGATTTTGATTGTAACTTCTGAATATAACCCAGGAACAAAATATATAATGTAAATTAATATATAAAGAGTCTACTTACTCAGCTGATCAACTTGCAAGAACCTTAAGTTGAGTCACCACAGGAACCTGAAAGTCAAACTGATATGGAAACACATCAGCACAAAACTGTGAATGCTAACACACACTCCTATACCATTCTAGTCTCTAGCCCGTAATCAGCAAATTTAGATGCATTCATTTCTAGGGAGATCGGTTATCGAATTCACATATACATACTCTGTGGAGCAATCACCAGAAAATGGCAGACATGTAGTAACAACTAATTTAATTGCAACAAAGATGTCTTTCATACTACGAGCTTTGTAAGAAAATTTCTTAGTACTAATGTACGAGAGAACACACTTGAAAATATGTTCCAGTCATTTTGTTTCGGAATCATGGTTGTAAATAAATAGTGAATCAACCATCTGTTGTGGCTTCATCCAATGTTCATGCTACATGGTACCCAAAAAAACATAGAAACCTAAATATCTAAGCACAGAATAAACAGGATAGTCACTCCAAAATGTGAACTCTGAGATGTATGCAAGAAGTAGGCTTACCTAGTAAACTACAAAGAATGTCCCAACAGCGTTCAAGTATGCTTAGCTAGTAACTATTGGAATTGTATCTGCACAACTAATACACTAATCTGAAAATTTCAAGCAAACAACATAAAGAAAAACTGGACAAGGAAAGGATGGATTAGATGCCACAAACAAAGTCAAACCAACAAATCATGGTTTGCCAAATCTTCTGTGCATTAAGGAAGAACTGTCATATACTCAATCTCAAACACATTTAGCAGCAAAAGTGTAGCCAAGCAAGCTACCAAGTGATCAGCCCTTTATCAAACTACATTCAATAGCAAATTCAGTTCAAACCCACAAATCAGTTAGAAAGGTTTCTAGCATTGAAAATTGTATGACAACATTCTAAACAATTATTAGTTCAAACGACACTGAAAGTGCGCTTGAACGAAGGAATGCCAGCTAAAAACTGAAAGAGATCCATTTTTCACCTACTTTAACCACATGACGGATCATATAAGAGTTGAACTCTCGCTGAAAACAAAGGACGAGAAAGATGTCAGAAATCAATACCCGAAAATTGAGAAACGCGGATTGAGAAAGACGTGTGAGCAAACCCCTAAGAGCTTCTACTCCCCTGTCTTTGCTGTTTGACCTCGTATTCTCTCTATTCCTCCTTTCGTCGATCAGCTAAAGCCTAAAACCCTGGGCGCCACAAAAGCAGCCGAACACGAGGTGGATGAATTAAGCCGGCGGCAAGAAAAGGCAGGGGGAGCAAGACTCCGATCTCTGCAGCGTAGCGTTCGCTGAAAGTATTACCTATTTGCTTCCTCCCTTTTTAGCTCCTCAAATCAATATATCGGCTGATGGCTGCCTCCGGCTAAGCGACTGATAACGGCGGGAGTGTAAGACGAAGGAAGAGAGATGCCGGTCACAACTCTTTTTTCCTCTCCCTCCGTCTCCACCGTCTATCTCCTCTTTCCTTCCGTTTCTTTTCCCCTGTTAATATTTTTAAGGTTTCCCTGAGCCCAATCACCCACGGACCCGAAACGGCAAACTACATCATCTGAAACGCCAGACCGCACTGTAATGACTTTTCTAAAAACGTTTGCTATTTTGTTTTGTTATTAGAAAATTTTAATTGCATGTGTAATCACTAATTATAAATTCTCATTCAACAGTTAAATGGGTGAGATGAGAATTTAAAAATAAAATAATATTTTAGTTAATTGTTTAGCTCTCTTCTTCCTCTTCTATCATCCAACCACCTACATGAAAAATTAACAAACAACCAAAACATTAAAAAATCTACCACTGACACACAGCCTCCTAATATCCTTAATTCATCTCCGCCACCATCCACACCGGCACTTCTCTACACCATTGTTGAGATTCGGAAGACTCTGCAGCTATGACGCCACCACACCAAGAATTACTACACGCTATAGTGACTATGTAGGGGCGCGGAAGTACAATGTAGGGGTGATAAAATGGTTTGGTTACGGTTAACCACAACCGTGAATAGACTAAAAACACCAACTCACCAAGACAACGAAGGTTGTCGGTTAGCCAACACCAAAGTCGATCGATGTGGTTTGATTAATCTGTTAGCCAATAACTGAGCGAAGCACTTGAAAATGTGGTTACCGGCTAGAAACCAAATGGCAACCTAACCAACCTGGTGTTGCCCCCATGCATGCCTATTATTGCGGGCATGCTGCTGCCTGGCTTCCGAAAATGCTATCTGTCCATTACATATATGATATTTGTAACAATAAAACATGAAGGTCCAATATACATTATAGTCCATAACACCAATTATTCTACAAGTTCAAACATTCATCTAAATAAAACTATAAATTCACATAAAAACAACAAGAAGTCCAAACATTCAACTGTCCAATTCAGATCAACCACCTAAATCCTAATCATCTTTGAAGCCGTGCAAATTCTCATGTGCATAATCATAATCAACATTAAGATATTCATTTTCCTCATAAGGATTGACATCAAAATCATCATCATCACCTTGAACATCAACTATGGGACAAGGATCAACAAGAAAGCTTTAGCTTTGGCCATCATTATCACTCTCACTTTAACTCTCTATTTAAACTTGTAAAGTATTATAAACTACATGCAAAACACAAAATTTTATTGAAGTGTTAGCAAATGATCACTTACAAATCACAAATTACCCAAGGTAAAGTGAAAGAGGAGAGATAGTGCCACTTTCAAACTCAATTAGCTCTTCAAGATCCTCTTCATCATCAACCAATTGAGAATCAGTGAACCGTATCAAACCTTATGCTCAAAGATGACATGAATGAGGATAGAACCCGACCTTCCGTACTAAAACTAGACTAAGAGGCAATAGAAGAATCTAGAATAGCTAAACTATCTTCGACCATTTAATAAAGGATGAGATATCTAATGTTGTAGGGACCACCATTTTTAGGATATCGAACTTGTCATCATCATCTTCCTCAAAAATAGCATTATATGCATTCCTTATACAGATATATAGCTATGGCCTATGAAGAACTGTGAATCTCCTTACTAAGTTCCTCTTTCCTCTTCTTCGTGAACGCAAAGGTACTTTCCTCCCATAACCATACCACTTCCCAAACTCCGAGTAGTGACAATAATTTCAACACCACGTTGAGTACTACTCCCATAAGTAGCTTCCCTTGAGGGTGGAGGCAAGAACTTGCCTTTGTAATCTTCAACCAATATAGTCATCTCCTCTTTAATAACTTCGGCCAAGTGCTTCCCATTCTCTTTCCTAGATCCAAGACACATACCCCAATTTGCATCTAGGATCTAGCACACATGCTAGGTAAATCACTCGATTCATCTTTATATTATCCTCATTATCTGTTTCAACCCAATATTTTGCAACCTTATCCGAATTCTTGCTGCCATACATAGTATCTCTTCATCTACATCCTCCAATGTTGTTATGATCACATAAATGTCAACAATATACTTGAAGAAGAGATTTGTTGTTACATATGATGTTCTTCTAAGGCCAAATACACTTGTTTAGCCAAAACTTTGACGTTTTTGCCAAATATAGCCACTTTTAGAGAAATACCAGAAATAGCCACTTCCGTCCAATTGTTTGACGGTGTTAGTTAATGTGGTGAATGGACAAACGAACCATCCGAAGTGGCTATTGTCGCCAAACAAGTGAATTCCACGTGGGATAAAAAAAACGAAAGGGTAAATGCGAGCAGCCGCCTCAGTCACTTTCTGACTTTTTAATTTTCCCTTCCCTTCCCCCTATTCGATATTTAGCGAACCCCTCTTCTCCGACGATGAACTACGACGCTCCCCCTCTCCAGATCGGTGTTGGTAGTCATCGACGACGACGAAATCCTTTCCGATCCACGAACCCACCACGAGATGCAAACCCCCTTTCCCCCTCACCAGAAAATCTCACTCCCATGACCCATCCCACACCCCGAGCCTCCCTCCACCGAATCGGCCATGTATCCCGGCGTTTCATAGATCCTCTCCACGTTCCGTTGACGCAATTTAGTGTTGGTGAGGGGGAATCGACCATCGAAGGCGAAGATTTCCCAAGATGAAGTTGCCGGTTCAAAACCCTAATCCTCAAGATTCTTGATTTTTGACGGAGGTCGATTTCTGGGCTTCTTCCTTACAGTCGACTGGTAAGTGTCGAGTTTAAAAAACTGAGCTCCGATGAGATGGATTTTATGTGCAGTGTTGTAAAGTTTTGTTGGTTTCTTCCTTTTATAGATCGTAGCTGGTATTAAAGTCAGAAAGCGACACAAAGGGGTCTACTCAGGACCACTGAGATTCTTCTCTTCGCGAGTTTGCCCTTGAATTCGAAGGTAAGCATCTGGAAAACTTCTGGGCAGAATCGCATCCTACACAAGAAGAAGTCTACTTTCAAAGGATGTTTGTGATGTTCTCAAACATCCGAGACGGTTTTCTTCTCGCTTGTCTCTCAATTATCGGATTTGACGGTTGTTTCTTGAAGGGGGAGGTCAAGGGCATGATTCTTGCAGCGGTTGGGAAGGATGGAAATAATTAGATGTACTCAATCGCCTGGGCAGTCCTGGAGGGAGAGAATGCGAACTCTTGGAGATGGTTTGTCAACATTCTTTCTCAAGAGGTGGGGTTAACAGATGGTAGGGGATGGACAGTCATCTCGGACCAACAAAAGGTTAGACGTTTAACTTGATGCCTTTTGTTCAACTTTCCCAAGTTTGTTTAACTTGCTGCCTTATGTTAACTTTTTCCTTTGTGCTTGTAGATTGAAGCAACTCATGAGTTGTTGCCGGAAGTAGAGCATCGCAAGTGTGGCCGCCATGTTTATGCGAATTGGAAGGCAAGGAACAAAACTGACCAGGTTCGTAAACTGTTCTGGAAGGCAGTTTATGCTTGCAATGAGGTTGATTGGAAGAAGGCCACCAAGGAAATGGAGACAATTGAAGGTACTGAACTTGGATCCACACCCTTTACTGATTTCATGGCTGCCGAACCCTGATTCTTTTGCCGAGCATTCATGTCGACAATGTCTAAGTGTGATAGTGTTGAAAGCAATATCTGTGAGACATTTAATGAGACAATTGTGCAGTATAGGGGCTTGAGAATAATCGACATGCTAGAGGGTATTAGGTTGTACATGATGGACCAGTTCGTCACTAAGTACAACTTGTTGATGGACACCCCAGACATGTTATGCCCTAGAATTAAGAAGCTGGTAGAGAAAGAAAAGGAATTCGCTAGGTTGTGCATTGCTAGGCAGACATTGGCGGACAAGTGCGAAGTGAAGATGGGTGAGAATGACTACATAGTGGACCTAACTGATATGAGTTGTACATGTGGATACTGGCAATTGAGTGGTCTGCCTTGTTTCCATGCTGTCTCGTCAATTTCACACATGAGGAAGGAGGTGGACGATTATGTACATCCTTGTTACAAGGCCCACCATGTCGAGGGAGGCTACAGGGTTGGCATCCCTTGCTTAGACGGTAGGCAGGCTTGGCCAGATGCTATTGGTCTTCCAGTTCATCCTCTGAAGCAAAGAGCCATGCCGGAAAGGCCTAAGAAGAAGCAACGAAGGGCTGCTCATGAGCTGGAAACGAGACCTTAGCGGAATGGGTTGGTGAGGAGGTAACTAGAAGGGGTAGTATCATACATTGCAAGAAATATGGTGTTGAGGGGCATAATTTGAGGGGCTGCAAAGCTACTGAAGCGGAGATTCAGGTATGCTTGATTAAGACTTTTAATAGTTTTTTGTTAATTGATTTCTTACTAACACAACCATTCTACTATTTAGGCTAACACTCAAAATGCTGAAAGACGTGCTCGAACAACAATAAGGACTTCTCGCACTGCTGGAAACACTACTGGTGGCGGAAACAATGCTGCCCCCACTTTTGTAGTTGGAGACAATAATGGGGCTACAAACAACCCAACTGGTGGAAACAATGTTGTCCCTGATACAAGGAGGAAGCGGGTTCTCCATTGCTCTAAGTGTCATTCGGCGACCCATAATGCGAGAACCTGCCCCCTCAACCGAGGAAATGGAATACAGGTAAGCCTTCTTGAAAACTATAACGAATACAAGTAAGCCTTTTTTAATACGTGGTCATTTGATTATATTGTGTGGAATGTATAAAACGTGGTCCTTTCTAGGATGTTGTGTTGAATGTTGGATATCGAAGGACGATTGAGCGTGAGATGCGAGTTGCAACAAGAGGGATAGGGGTGTATGTAAGTGAGGCAACTGGGAATCAGTACGTGAGGGTAAGTAGTAAGATTGAGATTTAATGTTTCTATGGAATGATTCTTGCTACCCCAACTGTTTATGATTTTTTGCTAACTTCATGATCTGATTTTAGCTGAATGGATTACGGGGGCGTCCTGCTGGAGGTACTCAGCCCACTGAGATGGATCAATTAAGGAAGCTAGCCGCCTCCGACACAACCTTAGATGTCAA